ATATTGTAGAATTGTACATATACAGTTATAATGAATTTTAGATAAATAACGATATAAATTCAACTGAAATGTGTATGTATATACATACTACTGTTTTATTGATTAATTATTATATTTACACTAATTTTATATGAAAATTTTTTTAACATTATAAAAATCTAAATAATATAAGATAAAAATTATAATCAATACTTAATATTAAAAAATAAAAACAAATATAAATAACAAACGAAAGTGAGCAATGACATAAAAAAATTGAACGAGTACGAATAATAAGTAAAGTCAACATTCAAAGCTAAAAAAAACTAAAAAATTATATCTTATTAGTTGATTGGATATAATTAAAACATTCCATATTTTTATTTTCAAAAAAAAAATTTGGAATTCAGTTAAATCGAAAATCCAGATTTCAATCTCATGGGCTACAAGTGTCAATAATTATAATTCAAATCCAAGTTCGCAAAGTTAGACACAAGACCCAAAGAAAAACAAGTTTGTCGAAATTTCAAGTCAAGAACCTTCTAAACTTTTCAAGAATTAATATAAAAAATATTAATTATTATTGTTATAATCTTACTAGTTAGTTTAATTAGTTGCAAATGTTATTATTATTAAGGAAGACTCTAGAATCAATCCAACAAATTAAATTATAGAGTCTCTAACCAAACAAAGGGGAAAAAACCAAAGGTTTATTATGAGAACTATATAGACAATTAAAAAACCAGAGTTTGAACCGAGTCAAACCCAAATAAGACCTAGAAGTTTCTAGCCAATCATAGAAGAGAAAAGGAATAAGTTTTGATAAAAAAAAAAAAACAGAGAGAAAAGACTAGGCATGGCCGGTTCATTGAACCGCTGATTTGAAATTTTTAAAATGTTGAACCTGAACTGGCCCTTTGACAGCTGGTTCCGGTCCGGTTCCAATTCCGGTGCAGTTTCGATGAATTGACGGTTCCAATCACGGTTTCCGGCGATATATATATATATGGCGATATATATATATATAATATATATATATATATATATATAATATATATATATATATATATATATATATATTTTAAAAAAATCAGATTCTAACGTACGTCTTTCTTTTAAAATATTAATACGAGTTAAAAAAAATATTAGTAAAATTTTAATTTTAAATAAATTTTAGAATGCTCTACTCCATATAAGAATAAAATAATTAATTTTACAATAATGCAATAAATTATCATTTACTTTTATTTAATTTTATTTTATTTAAATATTATTAATTAATAAATTATAAGAAAATTTTGAAAAATGCTTGAAAAGAATGTAATTTTAAACTTAGTAAACAATTTAAAAGGGTAAGAAAACAAGTTAAAAATAATATAAGTTCAGACTAAATATTTATTTCTCCCTTTTTTTACCATTTTACTTTTTAGATTTTTAACTTTTAAAGTATAGTGTATTTAAAAAAAAAGTCTTAAGTAAAGTATATCACGTAGTAAAATATTATTGAGACTTTTAGAGATATATAAAATAGGCTAAGTGATTAGCATTTTGAAAATAAAAATAAAAAATTTTCAATTCTAACCGAACCAGAATCGCCGGTTCAGGGCCAGTTCAGGTTCAGATTTTAATATTTACATGAATCTTAACTAGCCTTTGAACCACCGGTTCTGGTTTAAAACTTTGAACTGACTGTTCCAGTCCAGGTTCGACTCATCTATAGTACGATTCGGTTCTGGTTCAAAATGAACCGGTGTCCATGCTTAGAAAATATCGATCCTTATTCTCGATCGCGCGACAAAACCCCCCCTAAACAGCTTCACCTCCGGCCACCATCTAGTACGATTCCGGTAGCCACTCACTCTCTCATTGATGGTGAACCCATTTTCAGCTTTCCCTTGATGGCTGGGAGCCATCTTTCGTGAACTCCACGATCTCAGTCGTGCCTTTGACTACCTTGAGCTATCTCCGGCGACTCCTTTCGAGCAGGTAGACCGGTTACTGCTATCTAATTTATCTATGAATGATTTCTTTGCATAGTTGTGTATGAATTGGAGATTTTAGGAGGATTTAAACGTAGGTTTTAGTTGCTAGAAATTTGGGATTTTATTAAATAATTCCATAATTTGTGAAAGTTGATTTAGGAAATAGAATCCCCACTAGAAATGGAATGTCTTGATGTTAAAATTGCTTGATTTGACTGAAGATTAATTACTGGCCACCACTTGCCGGCGGTTGTTTCTAGTGACCGAGAACCCAAACACTCAGTATATCAAGTTTGGTGCGTAGAATACGAATTTGATAATATTTTTCAATCTAATATTGTTTGATAATTGAATTTGTAATAGATGCAAGTTAGTAATTAGATTTCAAAGCTGAAATTGCAGAAAATCAACTAAAATAAGAGATGATAAAACCATAGTTAAGGTAATAGAACGTGACAGTGTAGTATAATTCATAGATTCTAATTATGTAACTAAAAATGCAAACTGACTTTGTTTAGTAACACAAGCATTAATCAATGCAAATTTGATATGTAGGCTTCCAAGCCGAAATGTTGCAGAAACTTAAATAAATGCGAGTTATATGATTTTTAGAAGATGTACATGGATAGATAACAAAGCAATTATTATTTTAAAGTGATTAGAATTGATTATTGTTGTAATTCAGGTTGGAGGAAGTTTTAGTTCTCTCTCTCTACATAAATAACCTTGAACTTAGTTGCATTTAAGTGTAAATTTAGAACTAAGTAGCATAATAAAATAATTAGGATTTATTATTATTATGATTTAAGATTAAAAGAAGTTTTAGTTTTACACTTACATAAAATCTTAAATTAGTTACTTTAAAACGTGACTATGAACCTAGTAACAAGAAGTTCGCTACTATTAGTTGAATTACAAGTTAGTTATTATTTTGAGAATATATGGACCCATGGTATAAGTATTGATAGGTTGAGATTGGATGTGGTAAATATGTTCTGAACTAATTATTAGTGAAGTGAAAGTAGAATACTTGGATTTCTAATTATAATGAATGAGTAATGCTATTGGCAGATGGGATTTTGAGTTAGTCATTGGTTTCTTGTGGATTGAAATGTGATTATGTTGATGTGTTTGTGACTTTAAACAAGTTGGATAATCCGACTTTTAGGGGTAATGTTGCCGAATTTTCGGTAGCATAGTAAAGTAATATAAAATAAGACTTTAGTAATTTCGAGGAAACTAGAATACTTAAGAATTAATTATAATAAATATAGTAACTTAGGAATTTTGAACTAAACCGATAAACTTGAAACTACTTGACTATTTTTTTTTCCCTAGCTATCTTACTGGATTTTCAAAAAAGTTTTCATCAAGCTCATAAAGATCGAAAAAGGAAGTAGGAATTCATATAAGCTATTACAGGTTTCAAGACTTTCAATAACTTGTTATCCTTGATCACCAAACGTCTCGAAGAAACCTCAATAAATATTTTGAAATTTTAAATTCCTAGATTGTTTCACAATTACGATAATCATATATATTCTTTGAAAATCATTAATCTATTACTTATTAAAGTTTTTATTATATAATATATTAATATGGGCCTAGAGAACTTTTGAAAATTGAATTATTATTGAATATAATGATACGGGCCAAGCGAGCCCCAAGACTTATGACACTTGACTGTTTATAATATTGGCTTGAGGACATTTCTATTAAACAAGAAATTTATTTGGTATGCGTTTGGCTCCCCACGGGTTTTAGTGACTATAAGCCTACTCAGGTTCTAGTGCCGGTCCGGCCAACATAATGGGTCGTGACAATAATTTATTAAAATTATTTTTAAAATAAATACATATAAATTATTAAGTATTTCAAAATTTTAATTTTTATCATACTTATAAATTATTAAGTATTTTTCAAAATTTTTAATTTTTATCTTCTTTAAAATTTATTTTTAGATAATTAGATATGGATAACGGAGATATTTTAAAATTTTATTATATTATTGTTCAAATTTAATTTGTATGTTGAAGTTATTTTATCTGTGTTTTCATCTATAATTTTAGAAGTATTTCAATTATGGAGAGAGTTAAAAAAATGAAAAAGGTTTATTTTTTTGTATTGAATATTCTTTTTTTCTTTATATGTTGTGATAATTTGATTGGGATGATATTTTGTTTTAGAAAGAATAAAATTTTTGTCGAGAATAGGTATATATAATTAAGCCTTTCAAAATTTTTGGATTGTATTTACTTTTTAAGAAAATTGTATTTATGAGAATAAAATGGACATGATGGTGTGGCGATGGATGACAAAAAAAGCTGAAAGATTTGTAATCTTTAACAATAAATAAAATTTCAAATAGAATATATATAATTAAGCCTTTCAAATTTTGAATTTATTTACTTTTAAAATTTATTTATAAATAAAATGGACATATGTGTGCATGGGATGACCAAAAACTGAAAATTTTAATCTTAAAATATATATAGTATTTTATTGTTATATCTATATATCTATATGTATTGCTATGTATTTATTAGGCGATATCGAGAATTGTACATATACAATTTTTATTAATTAGCAATTATATTAATATTAATCTCATATGAAATATTATTTTAGCATTATAAAAATTTAAATAATATAAGACATAAATTATAATCAATATTTAAAATTAAAAAATAAAAACGATTATACATGACAAGTAAAAGTGAGCAATGATATAAAAATTTGAATGAATATGATTTTTAAGTATAACCAACATTAAATATCTATAAATACAATAATTTTAAATGTCTATCAGCGAAACATGAGTAGCTAAATTAACCAAAAATATTATATTCTGTCTTTTTAATTATTTTAAACAAGTTCAAATAATAAATTAACCTAAAATATTAAATATGATATTTTTAATTATTTTAAATAAGTTCAAGAATTAAATTGATCGAAAATATAAATTTTGATTTTGCTAAACAAATTCAGTAGCTAAATTAAGCTTTATTTATTTTAAAATGAGGGTGAGAAATTGGAATAATTTAAGAAGGGAGGGTGAAAAATATGATTTAGCCATTTATTTTTGTCAGTTGTCAAGAGCCCGATTGATGGTTGTTCTGGTCGGGTGCCGGTGAAAGAAGAGAGCAAGAAGAATGCAATCATCAGACACAAGTGAAAGAAGAGAGCACGAAGGCATTTTTGATATTCATACGGTAGATTTATCCTCAACAGTCGGTTGCATTAGCCGAACAAGTAAGTGAGAGCTATACCTCTGCTTCTCTTCCAATGCGAAATTCCAAGTTAAGGAGATTTTCTCTCCGGACGAGACGCATAAGGTTTTCTTTCTTTCTTTCTTTCTTTCTTTTAATTGAAAACCATCTTTTCTATTTTGGGATTTTTGATGATATTGGGTGCTAATTTAGTACACATCAGTTATCTATACTCTGAAATTCTAGAGTGTAATTCCCATTTCTTGGAAGTTACTACCTCTGTAATTTGTAAAGACATAACAGAGAGACATAGGCTACTGTATTTGGTACTAATGTGCACGAGGCCTTAGTTCGATTCTTACATACGCAAAACAGAATTGTTATGTGGAAGAATAAGGAAATTTAGATGTAGTTCATATAGTCATGTCAGTTGTTATCTATGTAAGGTAGAGAAATGAGAATCTATTCACTGATTGTAATACAATTCTCTTTCATGCTCCATTTCTCTTTCTCTCTGTCTCTGTCTCTCTCTTCCTTACTTGAACTTTCTCTCTCACCAAACGGAAACAATAATTCTAGCTATAATAAGGATGTAATGGAACACCCTGAGTTCGATTTTTCGGATTTTTAGATGAGCTTTTTTGTCTTAAGGTGGAAAATGAGTTTCAGTCCCTTTTGGTATGTGTCGTCACAGGGTATACCAAGAACATATTCTGGTTCTTCATTCTTATACTAGAGTTAACTTTGGTATTCTTTTATGGCCAATGCATATTAAATTACTTATATAACTCAACAATTACTCATTTTTCTAAATTTTAGATACGGATGATTATCGTAAAAGATTCCCAACATATCATTAGACTGCCTTTCTTCAAAATACATGCTTTTCCCAAACCCAAAAAATAGACAGAATTCTGGGATTCTTCCTTAGGGCAAATACTTCTATACATACTTCTTCTAGTTGATCTATACCATACGCCATTCTATATATTTATATAGTTTGAATCTATATCCATACGCCATTCTTTACTATTTACTATATATATATATAGTTATATAGCTATAAATTTAATTTGATGATTAGCCTCTCAATCATTGGTAAAGGGGGCAGAGCTGATATATATATATATATATATAATTTATTTGATGATTAGCCTCTCAATCATATGGTAAAAGGGGCAGAGCCTGCAATTGAGAAGAAATAAGATGCTCAAGCATACAACTGGAAATTTGAAAAGAAGACTAAGCACAATCTCAAACTCAAACACATTAAGACTAAAAGCCTTGCAAGTGCCAAAGGAGAAAGTAGAGTGTGTAGTGATAGGAGCTGGTGTAGTGGGTGTAGCAGTGGCCAGAGAGCTTTCACTTAAGGGCAAAGAGGTACTAGTGTTGGATTCTGCCCCAACTTTTGGCACCAGCACTAGCTCTCGCAACAGTCAAGTCATTCATGCTGGCATCTATTACCCTCCTAATTCTCTGAAGGCTTTATTTTGTGTGCGGGGAAGAAATTTACTCTACAGCTATTGCTCTAAACATGGGATTCCACACAAGCAAACAGGGAAACTCATAGTTGCCACTAGGTCTTCAGAGATTCCAAATCTATATCATCTAATGAATCGTGCAGCTCAAAATGGAGTGGATGGCTTGAGAATGCTGGAGGGTTTTGAAGCTATGAAAATGGAACCTCAATTACAATGCCTCAAAGCTTTGTTCTCTCCTGTTTCTGGGATTATTGATGTGCATTCTCTTATGCTATCTTTAATGGTAATGATGCTACTTTCCTCTTTTCTTCCTTTCATATATAAGTTACAAAGTTGTAATTTTTGACCAATTTGGGTCCAGGGAGAAGCTGAAAGTCATAGGACAACATTCTGTTACAATTCTACAGTCATTGCGGGCCATCTTGAAGGAAATCATCTGCACCTTCATGTCATGGGAAGCAATCGTCTCGAAAACTGGGATGAAAAATTTGAAGTGCACCCAGAGCTTATTCTTATTCCAAAGCTTGTCGTGAACTCTGCAGGATTGAGTGCCCTGCCCCTTGCAAGGAGATTTAATGGCCTACCTAGCAATATAATTCCACCAGCATATTATGCTCGTGGTTGCTACTTCACCCTATCAAATACCAGCATCCCTCCTTTCAGGCATTTGATATACCCTATACCTGAGGATGGAGGCCTTGGAGTGCACGTTACACTTGATTTGGATGGGCAGGTTAAGTTTGGCCCAGATGTTGACTGGATTGATGGTGTGGATGATATATCAAGCTTTCTGGATAAGTAATCCTTCTTTTGTCCTGTGTTATATCTCCACATCATTTATAACTTTTTTCATTTTAAGTTCGAAAGAATTATTGCCTAATTCTGCAAAAAATGCTTAGCATATGTGGGATATTATCTAGAAAGAATCTACTCTTTGATTTTTTAATGTTGCAACAAAATTATGATTTTCTGAAATCATTTCTTTTACACTATTGCAAATACTGAGCAAATTCTTGTATGTTGGGGAGCACCCCAAATACATAGAGCAACTTCTGAACGTGTATCTGAAACATGAACAAGAAATCTGTTATGCTGTTACATGTATTTTTTCTCATATGTTACATTTTGAAAAGGATATATGAATATGGATGGTGGTATCACTGTTGTAGTGTGAGTGACCTCTGTGTGAAAAAATGCTTTGTGTTTAGGTGTGTTACAGTAATATTGAAATGTTGTTCTAGCTATGCTTATCAATTCTATTAATCATTGATAGAGATCTACTTGGGAGGTTCTAATCATACAATTCATAACTTGTCTAATTCTTCTCTTCATTTAGTTTGTAATTTCTCCTCAATTTATGAGTCTGATTTTGTATGAATTACTTCGTCATTTTTCAATCCCAAGGCTTGGTTTGGGTTCTAACAAATCTTTTGTAATGGTTAAACCATATCAAGTTTCACAAATCACATAGGACCTAGTAATTGTATGTATTGTTAAATTTTCAACTTTGAAGCTTTCATTTCATTATATTGCAGGCGCCTGCTATCAGACATAATACACCCACCAATTGCTTGTCTTAAGTTCTTCAAATAAGAACCTGGGGTTTGAAAGAAGTATTTCTAGTGAAGCTTTTGGAAACTTGCAATTTCTTTATGAATAATGAATTTCGTGCTGGTGTTGCTATGTAATAGACAGTAAACTATGTGGATGGAAATTTCTTTTAATTGTTTATATGCGACATAAAAAATCTGTTAATAAGTGGTCATTTAATTATAAAATCTGAACTCTGTAAGACGTTTTCAGGTATGACTATTCTGTCAGTGCCAATCGTTCAGAAATTTTTTACCCAGAGATAAGGAAGTACTATCCAAATCTGAAGGATGGTTCACTGGAGCTAGGTTATGCAGGGATTCGACCAAAAATTTCTGGTCCTGGACAATCTCCTGTTGACTTTGTAATACAGGTAAGCACCCTCCTTTTAACTGTAAATTCTTAATCCAACCTGCTTCACATCCTTGGGCATTCTCTATCAAGTGGTAGGCGAAGCTGGGGATGTGAGGTCAAGGTCATTACTGAAAGAGCTAGAAAGTTTTGCTAATTGTCAACAACTATTGAGCATTGTAGCATATTTTTGCGCAATTTGCTCTTGTGAATATTTGAAAGTTCACATTATATTTTCATGTACAATAAACTTGCAATTGTCTTTGATTTGACTTCTGGGGTATGCAGTGATGATGGATTAAGTGATGTACGGGAGTATGAGATTATGAGGTTAATTAACTACAGGTCCTATCCATAGGATCAAAGATTAGTGCTGAACTCTGACACTAGCTATGTTAATCATTATTACCAAAAATGAATCAGTAAATAAAATTTTGACTCACTAGTAATAGTGTTCTTGCAACCTTGTTTACATAGGGTGAAGAGGCTCATGGAGTGCCCGGTCTTGTCAACCTTTTCGGAATTGAGTCGCCTGGTTTAACATCGAGCATGGCAATTGCAGAATATGTAGCTAATCTCAATTGAAGTTGACGATTTATTGTTTCAAATTCAATTCCATGGAGATGGAGATGGGCAGAACTATCAATAGTTTAACCTCTGTTTATTTTTTTTTCTTCATTTTGACGTGAAGTTTAACCTCTGTTTATTAGTCATGAGAATGTAATCATATTAATAATATACTTAACAATTCTATATCTAACTATATGTAGGGATGGCAACTTAATCCGATCCAGTGTTTATCCGAACCAAACCGACCCAATTTTTGTGGATTCGGATACTGTATAAATGGGTTTGGCCTAAATTTTGCGGATTTGGATAGTGTATAAATGGGTTCAGGACGAATCTGAATAGTGATTTTAGTACCCGCATCGGGTTCAGATCGGAGTCGGATTCGGATTCAGGAGATCGGATAATAGGTACCCAATAGTAAATGGGTAATGGGTTTGGGACGAGTACCTGCAGCACCCGCCCCATTATCAATTCGATTTAAAACAAAATTTTTATGATGATTAAGCACCTCTATGTAATAATTAAACTACCTTTCCACCAACCAACTCATACAAAGTTTCTGGGTTTCTGCATGTTTTATTTGTTGAAAGTGTATATATTAAAAGACGAAAGGATGGTGAATATAAGCCAATTCGTGGCTATATGAGTGAAATTTGACATGTTTGGTTTGTTAATTCAAAGTTTGGATTGTTAATAATGATATGAGTGAAATTTGACATGTTTGGTTTGTTAATTCAAAGTTTGGATTGTTAATAATGATTAAGATTGTGTAGAGATAGTGAGAATGAGATTATTTGCATGTAATTGTCATATACTGAGAATGGTTTGTTAATAAAGTTTAATTTTCTGCTGCTAAAATTATGAATATTCATATATATTTTGTGATTTTGCACGGGCTGAATTTTTTTTTTTTTTTTTTTTTTTTTGTTAATCTCAACGTTTTGGGAATGTTAAAATGAAATTACAGATTGTCGTAAGAGATAGTGAGAATGAGATTATTTTGCATGTAATTGTCATATACTGAGAATGGTTTTGTTAATAAAGTTTAATTTTTCTGCTGGCTAAAAATTATGCAATATTCATATATATTTATGTGATTTTGCACGGGCGCCTGAATTTTTTTTTTTTTTTTTTTTTTTAGAAGTTCTTATTTTTTTATTTGTTACCTTTTTTTGTTGAGAATAAATGGGGGATTATTTTTTTTTTTTTTTTTTTTTTTGAAGTTTATTTTTTTATTTGTTATTTTTTTGTTGAGAATATGGGATTAGGGCCAACTTGGATAGGTTGAACATGTAAGTGTTTCAGTCACATTGCTACTTTGAATTTGCTCTAAGTGAAATGTTGCTTTTTTCTTTTTTCTTTTTTCTTTTTTATTTTTTCTAGACTGATGTGCTCTCAAAATTGGTCGTTGGCTAACTCAAGTGGTAATTACTAAATTTATTGAATTTTAGATAGGAAGTTTATCAAATTATTATAATATCAAAGTTTCTATCTATTTATTTTTCAGATTTTTATTCATGCGCAGAGTTATAATATATTTTTTGCGCGGAAGGAGATGATGTTGAATGTTAATCCTCGTGATTGGTTCTTGAATAACTGGAGTTGAAGAATTATGTTTATCATAATAATATTATGTTTACGTAAAATTCCTGTGTTGCTGTTGTAGGCTTGTTGGGCTGTTCTGTTTTAATGTATTTTTTAATTCAGTAATTTTTTTTATTGAGATACGTTTTATTATGATTTATATGGATTTAGTTCCTTATTACATGATAGTTTTTTATATTTTAGTATTATTATATTTTAATTGTTTTTAGTTTGTTATTGTTATTATCTTGAATTTCAATAGATGTTTGATTCTGAAATCGTATAATTGAGATATTGCTTTGAATTGTTTATTTATTGTTTAATTCTTTTGTTTTATTTTAATGTTACTATGTACTGTGTTTTAGAATATTATAGGTTAAATTATTTTATTGTTTTGAAGTTGAATTTTAATGTATATTTCATATATTTTTTTGTTGTAGTTTGGGTCGGATTTTATGCGGATTCAGATTTTATAGATTGATTAATTTCGTAATAAACGGGTAATAAACGGGTAAGAGTGGTATGGGGGCAATTCTAAACAGATTTGGATGGATCTAAGTATTATTGGTTTAATCGGGTGGATATGGGTATTATAGATTTAATTTTTAGTGAATTCAAAATGGATTTAAAGTACTTAAAGTGACAACGACTGGGATTGTGTATTTTTAGGATGCTAGTCCTGCTGCTGTTCTTTTTTTTTTTTTTTTTGCTGTTCACTTTTTTTTTTTTTTTTGAACAGAAAATGGTTGATTTTATTAGTGCTCCTAAACACAATTAAACGAAGAAACAAAAGACGCGCGGAAATTACAAACCAATGCTCCCCTTCGACAGGAACGAGAAATGCTTGGAGCAGTCGGTGGCAACTCGTTTGACGAGCGGTTGATAAACCAGCTCGGCTTAATACTTAAAAACAGGAGCAGTGGGTGGACCCAGATTGTGATGAATACACTGGCCGAATACGAAACGAATAATACTTCACCAAATCGAGCCAATATCACCAGCCACTTCCCTGTAGAGCATTAAATTATTGGATTAAGTTTTGTCAAGTTCCTCGCACAACCAATTTGATGCCATCCTCTCCCCTTTAACCCAGCTTAACGCTTCTTTGATCGGCCCCTTGCTTCTGCTTCAATTGGCTTGAAATTGCCTTCAAATTTGGGGCCAACCTTAAACACCCCGCAAAATTGCATACTATCCCGTAAAACTGCCGCATAACAGCACCATGTACCACCTGTATAAACAGCTGCATCCAACGTTTAAATTTGAACCCAATTAAGTTCCTGGTTTTTGCATTCTAGACATCAGCAGATGGTGTTCTTACTGCCCAGTAGCGGCTTCAACCAACTCCAGACAGAAAACTCGAGGCTCTATGCCCAAACAGCATCGGCTGAGGAGTGCTTTAATCGAGACCATAATAACTATCTTACTCGTTTGAAACCAATTGCCCGAGCAAACAGTCATTGCACAGGCCACAATTCCTTAATTATTAAAAAAGGGAGCAAAAATCTTCCCATCCTCTTGGACAAGAGGCAACCATAGGAGTAATAACCGAAAGAAGCTCTCCAAACTTGCTTAGAAAACGGACAATGAACCAATAAATGAAAAATATTTTCATCAGATTGGCAACACAGAGGACATATGGAAGGAACATCCACACAACGCCTTCGCAATAGATCACGAGTTGGCAAAATATTATTGCTAGCTCTCCATGCAAAATTAATTACCTGCGATGGTGTTCTAATCTTCCATAAACGAGTCCACAACCTCCTCATATCTGCATGGATCATTAATGGCCATTTCTGCACAAGTGCTCTATAGGTAGTCTTCACTGAATACGACCCATCAATCTCAAACCTCCAAATGATCTCATCAGCGGCTCCAGTGATTATGGGTATTCTTAAAATGAAGGATACATCTTGATCATTAAATATCCTCCGTATCAACTGCTCATTCCAACTTCCATTTAACATCAAATCCTGCAAATAAAAGACTCCAACACCAGGGTCAAAATCCGTAGTAATAAATGGGTAAATCGCATCACGAAGCCATGGTTTTGACCATATAGCAATACTCCTTTCGCATCCAACTTTCCAGCACATCCCACTCTGAATAAGCTCCTGACTCTCCCGAATACTTCTCCAAAGATAGCTGGGATTACCTCCCAAAGGTGCTGCAAGAAAATCGACATTCGCATAATATCTCGCTTTTAGCAACTGTGCCACTAAGGATTCTGGCTCCTTAATCAGTTTCCACCCAATCTTCCCAAGGAGAGCAATGTTGAATTCCCGTAGTTGCTTAAAGCAAGACCTCCAACATTTTTATCCCAGCATAAACGTTCCCAACTCATCCAATGAATGCCTTTATGTGTAGCATCAGAACCCCACCAAAAGCGGCACATAATTTTCTCCAATTCATCACAAAGGGACTTTGGGAACAAAAATAGCATCATAACATAACTAGGCACAGCTTGGAGCACTGTTTTCAAAAGAACTCCTTTACCTGCCTTTGATAACTTCTTAATCTTCCAAGAGTTGAGTTTTTTCCAAACTCGATCCTTAATGTACCCAAAGACTTCTTTCTTATTCCGCCCGATAGCCATAGGTAGCCCCAAATAAGTGCCAAGGTCATCGTGCTCCCCAACCTGCAGTAAAGAGCAAATATCCCTCTTTGTACCAGTATCTGTGTTTGGGCTAAAATAGACCAAAGATTTTGAAAAATTAATGGCATGTCCTGATGCAAGTGCATACTCTGAAAGCAAAGACTGAATAGTTTGAGCCTCTGGAACAATAGCCTTAAAAAATAAAACACTGTCATCGGCAAAAAATAAGTGGGACACTGTTGGAGCACCTCTAATCATTTTTATCCTATGAATTGCTCCTGCATTCTCCTTTGCTTGAATAAGTCGTGAAAGGGCTTCGGTACAAATAATAAATAAATAGGGACTTAAAGGATCACCCTACCGCAAACCCCTACTAGGTACAATAGGTCCGATAACCTGTCCTTGATGCAAGACTTTGTAAGAAACCGAAGAAATACAGTGTAGAATTTGGGCAATCCATTTCTCGCTAAAACCCATTTTCCTCATAACAGCACTTAGGAAAATCCACTCAAGCCTATCATAGGGTTTGCTAATATCAATCTTCAATGCAGCATAGCCAACTCTTCCACATCTTCTGGCTTTCAAATAATGAACTAACTCATAGGCAATAATTGAGTTATCCTGAATGTGCCTTCCCGGTACAAAAGCACTTTGAGTCGGTGAAATAATTTTTGGAAGGATAGCCTGTAATCTATTCGCATACATCTGGATATAATCTTGTAAAGGACTTGACATAAGGCAATAGGACGTAAGTCCATCATTGTGACAGGATTTTGCTTCTTGGGAATTAACACCAGAAGAGTTTCATTCAGAAGTGGTGGGAACGTACCTGCATCTGCACATTCAATAAAAAATCTGGTAACATCAGGGCCGATGATACTCCAAAAGTGCTGGTAAAAGCCGGGATTTAGTCCATCAATACCAGGAGACTTATCGCTCCCCATGGCAAACACTGCCTGCCTCACTTCCTCGGCTGTAAACGCTTCCTCAAGATCCTGATTATCCAACCAAGACACACACCTGGGAATCGTGTTAAGGATACTCTCTGGTGAGCAAGCCTGTGCCGCATAAAGGTCACCAAAATAGTTTGATATAACACCACTTAGACCCGTGTCCCAAGTCTTCCACTCTCCATTAGAATCCTGTAACCGTTCAATTCTATTCTTCTTCTGCCTCGCAGTAGCCTTTGAGTGAAAATAACGGGTATTCCGATTACCACACTGCAGCCAAAGCTCCTTAGCCCTTTGTTTCCAGAACAACTCCCACTGCACATAAATTTCAGCCAGTCTCTCCCTTGCCTGCAAATAGTTTCGCCTATCTGACTGTGATCTCCTACCTCGAAGTAATTTCAGCTTCTGTCTACAATCATTCAAGTCTTTCTTAAAACTGTGTCGATAATTTCCCCCCCATTCATTAAGTGCTTTACTACAAATCACCACTTTATCCAAGAAATTAGCTTCATTGTGATTCGTCCAACATTCTTCTACCACCTGTCTACATTCCGGCTCCTGCTGCTATCCTTAGTTATACGTATTTCCGTTAGTCTATTTCTCATTTAACTCGTCCACATAACATTTATAAGAGGACGGCCGCGCGTTGCCAATACCTACTATAATCATTCAACAAGAGGCCCGCACAGTAATATGTCAAACTGATCGAACCCACTAATTTGGTTTGGTTTGATTTTGAAAAAAATTAATTTGATTTTAGTTTTAATGAAAATATAAAAATAAATATTTGGTTTTGATTTTTTTAAAAATCAAATTAGTTTAATTCAAATGATAAGTTAAAATTGAAAAATTGAATTGAATTGAATCAAATCGATTTGATTTGATTTTTTAATAAAAAATTTCGGTTTAGACATTGATTCGATGTCCGAAATGTACGCCTCCACAGAGAAAGTGAATATTACTGGTTCACTTGATTAGCCGGCTCGATATTTTTGATCAAGGGCTATCAGCACTTTGCGTCGCTGTAGAAAGCACCTTGTGTTGGCCAGAGTGAAGAAGGGGGAAAAGCCATGCCTCTGCCTTTGTTATGATGCGAAATTGTAAGTTAGGTGGTTTCCTTGTGGGCTGCGCCAACAATTACAAGCTTCACTCCTCCTCTTCAAACCGCCATCGCACCACTTTTCTTGCTTTGCTTTTGTCTTTCCCAAATTCTTCTTTTTTCGCCCGCCCTTTCTCCGGCTACGCTGCCGAGCAGTTTTCAGATGACGACTACGAATGCGATTTCGAGACCCATAAGGTATCCTTTCTTTCTTTCATTCAATAGAAAAGAAATCAAGCAGCTTTCTTTCAAGATTAAGATTGGACTGTTGTTAATGGCAGGCATCTTCCTCTGTGGCCAATATTGATGAGTGGAAATGGAAGCTCAGCTTGCTATTGCGCAATGAAACTGACCAAGAAATTGTGTCCAGAGATAGAAAGGATAGGAGGGACTTTGAGCAGATTTCCAACCTAGCCAAAAGGATGGGCCTTCACAGGTAATAATTAAGCGTTATTACGAATTTTTCTTTTTGCTTTTGAATCTTTGTAATTTATGGAAATGACGTATCATCATCTGAACTGTTATTTTCACTGGTGTATTACTACTGCTGATAGTGAAATGTATGGAAAAGTGGTGGTTGCAAGTAAAGTTCCTCTTCCTAACTATAGACCGGATTTGGATGATAAGAGGCCTCAAAGAGAGGTATTTATTGGAGAAAATTTTCAAATGCATTCATGTTTCTTAGAGATTGAGATCCTTTTCTTGCATCATCCTCTTTCTATCTAATTTTGTGTAACATAGTTTTCGTTGCATTATTTTGGTGAAGGTGGTAATCCCACTAAGCTTACAAAGAAGGGTAGAGGGTTTACTTCAGGAACACTGTGATAGAACTCGGCTAACTTCTCCAGGAGCTGGTGATGCTGCAGGCGATGCTAAGTCTCTTGATCAGGTTGAAGATGTTACTCTAGATGACAATCCAGATTCTTTTCTAGATGGCTCTGTTATGGAAAAGGTTTTCCAGAGGAGGAGTTTGCGGATGCGTAATATGCAAAGAGCTTGGCAGGTGTGTGTATATATATATTAAAGAATTTCCTATATGAATCTGCAGCTGTGCTGTCTCATGCACTAGGCTTTGGGCTCCACATTAAGTCATGTTGTCCCTAGTTTAAGCAATCAAAAGACATATCCTTAGGATTGCCATTTACAAGTATTAATATGTTGTCACTTGTCAAATGTATGCAAAAGCTTTTTGGAGAGCTTAGCCAGTTGCCTGTTTTTCTCTTATCTTATATGTTTTCCTAGGGCTAATCTAAACCTCAAGTTCTTAATATGTTGTCACTTGTTAAATGTATGCAAAAGCTTTTTGGAGAGCTTAGCCAGTTGCCTGTTTTTCTCTTATCTTATATGTTTTCCTAGGGCTAATCTAAACCTCAAGTTCTTAATATGTTGTCACTTGTTAAATGTATGCAAAAGCTTTTTGGAGAGCTTAGCCAGTTGCCTGTTTTTCTCTTATCTTATATGTTTTCCTAGGGCTAATCTAAACCTCAAGTTCTTAATATGTTGTCACTTGTTAAATGTATGCAAAAGCTTTTTGGAGAGCTTGATTTTTAGTCTCTTTTATATACTTGGTGCTCTTTGTTTGCATTATGATTTCCTGTAGTAATTAAAATACCTTGAGTGGGAAAACAAATCAATTTGTATCATTCTGGCACTATTTTTTTATAAATTTACTGCGTCTGTTTTACAGGAATCACCAGAAGGCAAGAACTTGATGGACTTCCGGAAGTCTCTACCTGTATTCAAGGAAAAGGAAAAACTGCTTCAAGCAATAGCAAGGAACCAGGTTTGATTATAATTTACTGCGTCTGTTTTACAGGAATCACCAGAAGGCAAGAACTTGATGGACTTCCGGAAGTCTCTACCTGTATTCAAGGAAAAGGAAAAACTGCTTCAAGCAATAGCAAGGAACCAGGTTTGATTATGGAACTCAGAATCTAAGATGTCAGAAGTGTTTCGTAGGTTGAAGAGGATGACTCTTTCTTCACTTCAATTTTCAAGAAATTTCTGCTTGCTCCTCTCTTGACAAGTTCCCTATATTTAGTTTTGGATTTTTGTCTTAATACTTATTCAGAAGGGGGTACCTTGAGGGTTGAACTGGTAATATAATTGTTTTCACCAAATTTCGTCAGTATTAATTGATTAGTAGAATGTGTTGAGAGTGCAGCTCTAGTGATGGGACGGAAGGAAATTAAGGTGGAGATATCTCCGGGGCATGTAGGGCATAAGACACATATTTCAAATATCTACTATCTATCACAGGGTGTGTTAAATGAGGATGCTTAGGTGGGTGCATGGAGAGTTAAATAAAGAAGGAATGAATACATATTTAGGAAGGTGGAAGTGGCACCTATTGAGGAAAAATTAAGTGAAAGTACATATGAGATGGCTTACATGTGTACTATACACGATAGACCAACCTAATCCTTTGTGGTAGGAAATGGAGGGCTAGGCCTTAAGTGACATGGAAAGTAGTGAACCAAAATCTCGAGGCCCAAGACCTTAATGATAATGCAGCTCGAAATTGGGCGGAATGGAGAAAATATTTGTGGTATTTCAATCCATTAGTGAATATTGAATAAATTTTTTGCATTACCGTAATTATTAAGTGGGACAGCTTGGAAGAAAGATTAGTTTGAAACATTTTTTGTTTGGGTTTTAAATTGATTTGAGTTTTCTTTTATCACTTAACATTAATAGAGAAAAAGGGAAGAAATATCTTAACTTTGGATAATATCAATATGAATACTCATCTAGGAAAAAAAGAGATATTGTGCTGATATTATTATTGCACAAAACATTATACCTGGTAATATTTTCTTTTAAGCATGTTTCAAAGAATGAAGATCTCAAAATTGATGACCCCTTTTCTAAAATAAAAAGTAGCAGTTTGATTTTTCAAAACCTGGACTGTGTCAGCCAGTTCATGGTTGAACCTCTTTCTCGGCTGGTTTTAGCTGAGCGGTATACTCTAGGTGTTAGGCCTTCCTGATTTAATTGGCTGATATAGTCTAGACAAGGTGTATGGCTGCTTCTAACTCATCTGTTTAATAGAATGATGAATAATGTGGTTTGAAATCCAGATCTTTTGGTTCTCATACTAAAGAGTAAATATATACCTTTGGAAAAGAGAGAGAAAAGAAGAACAGAAACACACAATTGGAAATGCTTTTAAATGCAAAGCAAAACACACAATAATGCATTGTTAAGCCTAAGAAACTGTAGAAGCCGATTTCCATTTTTTTTTTAATTTTTACAAAATAGTCATATCCTCTAGTATGGGAATTCTTAACAAGTTATTTTGTTCATAGGTCATAGTAGTATCTGGGGAGACTGGATGCGGTAAAACAACTCAACTTCCTCAGTACATATTGGAGTCAGAAATAGAATCTGGTCGTGGTGCATTCTGCAGTATAATTTGCACGCAGCCTCGAAGAATATCTGCTATGGCTGTTGCAGATAGGGTGTCTACAGAGAGAGGAGAGCCTCTTGGTGAAACTGTGAGTGTTTATCCCCTTAGAGCACAAATACATGCACATACAAAGCTATCATCTGCTGAAGTAATTATTTGTGAATTGAAAACCTCTTTATTCTTGCTGCTATACCACAACAGATTTTTTTGCTAGGTTGGTTACAAAGTTCGGCTAGAGGGTATGAAAGGAAAAAACACCCATCTGCTTTTTTGTACCAGTGGAATTTTACTAAGACGGCTGCTAAGTGACAGAAACTTGAATGGTATAACCCATGTTTTTGTTGATGAAATTCATGAGCGGGGCATGAATGAAGGTGACTTCCTTATAAGTTCAGTTTAATCACCTAGTGCAAACATGAAGCTGTTTAGTTTAGTTATAAAACCATTTCATTTGTTTATTTTTCCTTATAACAGACTTCCTATTGATTGTGCTCAAAGACCTTCTTCCACGTCGTCCAGACTTAAGATTGATTTTAATGAGTGCCACTTTGAATGCGGAACTATTTTCCAACTATTTTGGCGGAGCACCAAGGATTCATATTCCAGTAAGCTAAATGTTATTAACACTTTAGACTGACATTTGGTTGTAAATTGTCTTGATATCCATAGAGTGTTGAGTTGTGAGTATCAGCCAATTGAATAAAAATTATTATTTTTTTATTATGTATCAGCCAATTGAGTAATTAATTTCTTTTGTTATGTATCTGTATCAATTTCAGTGTTGGGACTTTAAGTTGTGACTTGTGATGTCTTTAGTTTTCAGGTGACTTTTTTGTTGGTTTTGGGGCTTGCCGCCATTTAACTGACAGAAAAATTTGCATAGAGAAAATGTGAATGGCATGTTGAGAAACTGCACATGAATAAATGGCTTGCTTATGTGCTTAGAAGCGTTTGAAAGCCATACTGTCTTTCTTTTGTGATTAACTATGAGAAAATTAATTCTCAAATCAAAAAAAAAAGTGAGAAAGTTAGAGACAGTGTATATTTTGTATATGCAATGTGGTCCAAAAACTGCTTGGTGATTCTATCATTGATTAAATCCTTTTAGAAAAAAAGCTAAGTGTTTCCAAAGCCAATTTTCTATTCCTAGACAATTTTACATTGTCTTATTTTATTTCCAAATTTGAAAATTTGGCTGTCTCCAGTTGTGCTATACAATTATTGAATCTTTTTACTGGAGTGATGATGCATTTACATGCTAGAGATATATTGCACCATGGATGTGGTACTTAGGCCCCGTTATTTGTCATTCAGGGCTTTACATATCCAGTAAGAGCACATTTCTTAGAAGATGTACTGGAAATGACTGGATACAAGTTAACTTCTTTTAATCAAATTGATGATTATGGCCAAGAGAAAATGTGGAAAACACAGAGACAGCTTGCTCCTCGGAAAAGGAAAAATCAGATCACTGCTCTTGTTGAGGTATGACTTCTGACAGCTAGGGGAACTCTTGACATTAAGAATTGCTACAACTTTGGTTGAATGGTGGACAAGTCTTGGAAGATTCCAGTGAAACTTTCTGAGTTTCTCCCTGTTTCTGTTATGTTTTCCTATGCTTTGGGTTGTTGAATTCTTAAATATGTATACACCACAATGAATATCTCTAGTATGTAGCATCTTGAGACTTCATTTTACATGAAAATTGTCTCTTCCATTTTGCTTTCATTATTTACATACAAAAAAAATCGTTCGATTACCTTTTATGATTATTGCCATTTAGTTATGCACAAAACTTTTTTGTAGAAAATCCACATCAGATTCTTAAGCTTTGCATGGAATGTCTTTTTTTTTTTTTTTTTCTCTGCACAGGATGCTCTTAATAAATCAAGTTTTGAGAATTATAGCTCTAGGGCACGTGATTCCCTAGCATGCTGGATGCCTGATTGCATAGGATTCAACCTTATTGAGGCAGTTCTATGCCATATATGTCGAAAGGAACGTCCTGGTGGTGTCTTGGTATTCATGACTGGCTGGGAGGATATTAGTTGTTTGAGGGATCAACTTAAAGCTCATCCCCTCCTGGGAGATCCAAATAGGGTTTTGCTTTTAACATGCCATGGTTCTATGGCGACATCTGAACAGGTAGCATTCTCTTTATTTGACCTGATTATTCATTTTGCTATTAACTTTCCTACAGGTTTAGGATTTCATTTTTGCGCCAATCTTATTAGAGGGGGAAAAAAAAAAAAAATCTCCCTTGATTATTTTATAGGGCTACCAGATATTAACCGATTTGGAAGGACTGAGAAGACTGATTTGAGAATAGCTTGTATCGTTATTGTTGATACTGATTGTGTCGAGTAATTGAATGGGATATAAATTTCATTTTATGGTAGGTTGTTGGAGCTGTATCGTACTTCTCTTGTACAAATGTCAGCATTCAGTTGTGAAATCACATTTTGACTAGTAATTAAGTGCTAAGGAATAATGCTTGATACTAAAAATAGGAGCTGGCATGCAGAAGATACAAAGAGTTGAAATTCAAAGTTGAAGTTGTTAAATTTAGATTTCTTTAGTCCTTTGATTTCATGACCTATTTACTAATTTTCTGTACTGGGTATACAGTATTGCCATGAGGTGGAAATTTTTTACCTGAATTGGGAATCCAGCCTAAATTTGCATGAGTAATAGGGCCAAACCCCAACTGTATCTACACTATACTTGGGAATGAGCTAAAACAATTTTAGGGTCAACCTGAGCATTCTAAATGAAACAAATTTATTTTAAATTGAAAAATTATGACACTCCCCAAAACTAAAAATAATTAAAAACAGAATAAATTTCAAAAATAAAAAAATAGACCAAAATGATTTTCCAAGAGGTTGACTCATTGGTGAATGTCCAAGACAAGTTCAATGGGTTTATTCTTATATGCCACAGTGTTAGTAATTCATGCTTTTACCTAACTCCATTTACCAACTTGCTATCACAGCAAGTATTTTAATAATAATAAAAAAACAAATACAATTTTCCCTCCAAAATATTATGTATTGTGAGAGTACCTAACCAAATTCTCAAATCTAATGACAATGTTGAGGTGATTGTGTGAATTGTTAAGCATTGAATTTAGCAGAGCATCCTCCCTATTAATCTCTTTTCTTTTTGGTGGATTTGTAAAGATTGTAATAATGTTTTGCATCTATGGGTTTGTCTTCCGACGTGGTGCCTTTAACCATATATGTTGTGGTGGGGTTTTCAAACACCACTGTTATCAGCTTCCCCAAGATTTCCACACATCATAAATTGACCTGGCCCTACCTGACTCAATTGCCACCTTATTTTGTGCTAGTGGTGCTGACTACTAGTTGGTCATATTCTTTTCATATAATCAGTATGTGTGGGGGGCATCCTAAGCTTAAGTTATCAAGCACTTGAGTTTCATAAATATTCCCATCAGTTTAGTATAAAGTTACAAAGCGATCTGCAACACAAACAAAGATGAGATTAAGAAATCTTAGTTGAACGCATATTTACACCGCTTGATTAGAGCCAAGCCAAGCGGAAAACAGAACATGAAAGTGACCAATTGTCCAAAAATGCAACTTTGTTGTTAGTTAAGTCAATAATAAGCTAATGGCAAAAAGTCTATAGGGATCCTCATATCGTAATTGCAAAATAGGAAACCCTAACCCTCACAAGTAACATAAAACCAAAAAAAACCTAATAATTGTTATTATTTCTAAATTTATTTCCTAAAATTTGTACCTTATGATCCTGCAAAATAGATTCACTTGTGCTACCTTTTCTATTCTTGCAACATCAGTTGTTGAATCCTCATGCCCCCTGAAATTGTTTTCTGCACTTTCGTTGACTGGCTCCTTACTTGGTTTCATTGTTAAATATAGTGGAAGTGGAACAATTATGAACTAACATTTCTATTTTGAATTCTTGGGAGAGAGAGAGAGAGAGAGAGAGAGAGAGAGAGAGAGAGAGAGGGGGCTCCTTAACTTGGTTTCATTGTTTAAATTATAAGTGGAAGTGGAACAATTATGAACTAACATTTCTAATTTTGAATTCTTGGAGAGAGAGAGAGAGAGAGAGAGAGAGAGAGAGAGAGAGAGAGGGGGGGGGGGATGTGAAACAGGTGGGGGGGGGGGGGATGTGAAACAGTGCCTTATCATATAAGTTCATTCTTCTTCCTTGAAAGTGAATGAATCTGGTCTGGAAATGGTAGACATGAATGTTTTCAATTTTCAATAATAAATATCGTACAAAACATTGCTTGTAATTGGTCTACTGCAGTTAACTGCATATTGTTCTTATGAATATGTAGCATGCCGCTGTATTTATCATCTGTGGATTTGACATCATGCATTTTATTCACTTCTTCTTGTATTGGTTTTTGCAGAAACTTATATTTGACAGACCACCTCCTAATATCCGTAAAATAGTTCTTGCCACTAATATGGCAGAAGCAAGTATTACAATCAATGACGTAGTTTTTGTGGTTGATTGTGGAAAAGCAAAGGAGACTACTTATGATGCTTTGAACAATACACCTTGTTTGCTGCCATCATGGATATCACAAGCATCTGCACGGCAGGTAAATTTCGCATACATTAATTTCACTTTGACTTGTTCTTAGGGTTGTATTTCTGAATTGAATAATTGAAATTATTTCTGGAACTTTTTTTGATGTCTTCTATTGTATAAAATTTTTAAATTCAAGTGCTTTTGCACTATTTTAAAATGCATAACCTATTTCTGGACTTCATCACCTTTAATGGCTGTTTGCCTGTTTATGTGTTGCTGGTAGTGTTTGCTTGACAGCAATATCGTAAGCATGCTTGGTGGCTTGTGTAATTTGAGATGGTTTTGCACAGGTAATTGGGCCAGATCAAGGGCTCAAATTAATGATTTAGATGTCATAGCTTACCTCATATGCAGTGGTGCAGGATTTAAAGCTTGGTAGGGCAAATGAAAAATTTTTCAAAAAATTAGGGGGGAGAGGGGGGTGGAGGAGCTCAAAAAAATATTTACTATTTTATTGGCTAAAAATTAAAAATATATAAAAAAATTTGGAGCTACCTCCTTACCTTTGCCACTGGTCATATGAACTGCTTAAGGTCTAATTTGCATCTTTAAGAGCATTTATAATCTAGCTTCCTTTTGTCCTTTACTTTCGGTCTTTATCCACATCTAATATGCTCTTTCTTGGAATATACTTGTTTGCAGAGAAAAGGCAGGGCTGGCCGTGTGCAGCCAGGTGAATGTTATCACCTCTACCCCAAATGCGTTTATGAAGCTTTTGCTGAATATCAACTTCCTGAACTTCTGAGGACTCCCTTGAACTCTCTTTGCTTGCAAATAAAAAGCTTGCAGGTGGGAAGCATTGCAGAATTCTTGTCAGCTGCACTCCAGCCACCGGAACGATTAGCTGTAAGTATTATTGTGGAACTCTTATTTGTCTGGATAAACCATGCATGTTGGCAGCTCTAAACTTTCTGAATCCCATCTAATTTCAAGAATCTGTCTCTTCCCAACTCTGAGATTGTTACATATGTGCAATTGCATTGCGTTCTGTGTTTCTAATGTTTGTCAAACCACATTAGCAAATAAATGACATTATATAGATATGGGAAATATATAGGTTTTAGACAACTTCTACCAAAATTTGTTCTTTATGCTAATGTGGCATGTTGAGGGGGAAAAAAAAGAAGCATGCAACTCATATAGACAGATTAGAATAAAAAAAAAAAAAAAAAGAGAGGAATTAGCGCAAGAGAAATTTTATAAAAAAAAAAAAAAAAAAGAGAGGGGGGATTAGCGGAAGAGGAATTTTATATATGGTCCAGAAATATGGGTCTATGGAGATCCACCGTGAGTTATCTTTCAATATGAAGGAAATAAGGGTAAGTATTAATTATAAGTACCCTTGAAGTATCTCTTACCGTTCATATATATTACTAATTTGAATTTTAGTAAAAGACCAAGTAATAAGGAAGCATAGAATCTGGTATTTAAGCAACATCTTTTGTTGAAGACCCTGTCTTTCTCTCATGGTTGTTGTCAATGTATAATTACAACTATTGCTGCTTCTACTATTTTTTTTTTCTTCTTCTAAAAAAAAAAAAAAGGAAAAAAGAAAGTTCAACTACTATTGCATGGGCTAACAGAGAAGATCTTGTATAAAGGATGATTATTTTACCATATAATGAATTACTGTTTTGCATAGATTAAAAAATGATCAATTGGCTCCTTGACAGTCTGCATGAACTCGCATTATTTACTTGCAACTCCATGTTCGAGGTCAATTATCGTGGAAATGCTTGTCCTAAAAAAGTTTATTTTAACAATTTGTTCATTGAGTCGTGCTAAATGGCTCAAGTTGGGCCTAACACAACTTCTACTGTAGCGGGCTAAAATGTCTGAAATGCCCTCAGCAGGTTCATGCGGCGAATTTTGCCCGCAATATATATGCAGGGGCATGTTAGACATTTTATCCCGCCTGATAGAGAAGTGAACGTAAAGCAATAGAAAAAAAAAGAATAACAGATGGGGAATTTCAGAGAATTGAATGGCAAAACTGAAGAATATGCTGTATTAGTTTCTCAATCCAAAAAGCTACAAGATGGCTAGAAAATTCTGGAAACATGAACCAGCTACTAACAGAAAAAGAAAAGGATAAATGACTGATAGAATCAGCCCCCAGGCCTCAGCCCGTGCAGAGAATTCTGCCCTACAGTAGTTGGTTGTCCAAAGATGCCTTTCTCACTTCTTGATTCTTCTATAAAGATCACAGCTCTAACTAACTTGTATGACGTGGCTTATTTCCTTGTTCCCCAATCTTGCTAGCCTTAGCTGTCTTCCCTCTTCTAGAATATACCAAATAGGGCCGTGGGCCTGGTAGAGCAGTATTTGTATCATTACCTCCCACTGGAAAATCTGCCTTGTCCTCAAGGCAGAAATGAGGAACTTGAGCTATGAGATCATATTCATTTACCCAAGTTGCGTTATCTACTGTCTGTCCTTGCCATTGAACTAATACTTGGGAAATTTGCTGATGCCCATCTTGTAGTATACGTCTCTGACAGACTTTACAGGATTCCAGAAGGGGTCCTTCTTCAATATCCAAGCTGTCAGGTAATTGTTCTTGCACTGCATGTGCTCGTATCACCTTCTTAAGTTGTGAAACGTGGAAAGCAGGATGTATTTTAGAGGTAGGTGGTAGTTGAAGCTTGTAAGCAACAGCCCCTATTTTGCCAATTATTTGGAAAGGCCCAAAATAACGAGCAGAGAGCTTCGCATTGACCTGATTAGCCACTGATTGCTATTGGTGAGGTCTAAGTTTTTAAGAACACCTTGTCTCCCACTGAGATGTCTGCTCACCGGAAGGATGGCGATGGAAAGCCTGTTGCTGGGTGGGCTGTGCCAGCTCACGCTCCACTTCCCTGGCAATTTGCATGGCTTTGTATAAATCAGTAGTGTCATAAGAACGGAGGCAAATACTGATTTGTTCTCGCAAACCATTCAAAAAGTAACCCAAAAGCTGTGAATCAGATTGATCAGGAGTTTGCGCCACTCAGGATATAAAATCATCTATGTAATCAGATACAGACCCGATTTGTTTTGCTGCGGCAAGGTGTACATATGGATTATCTAAGAGATCACTGCCATATCGCTGCATTAATTCCAATCGCAGTTGTGTCCAACCATGCTTAGGAGTCCTTTGACGGATCCAGCGAAGCCAGTGGAGTGGGTGGCCCTCCATAGAGATTAAAGCCAGAGAAACTTGTAGAGTAGGAGGGATCTTATGGAGCTCAAAATACTGCTCCGCTTGGGCTACCCAGCCGATTGGGTCTGTTCTGGCAAAGGTGGGCATATTGAGTTCTTGGCTGTAAAATGGGTATCAGCTAAATTTTTGGGGTTGGTGGGAACAAATCTGTGGTGGGTGGAATTGGGTGATTCTGTTTGGGCGTTTGGTGGAGGGTTGGAGCTACCTGTGGATTCACCCGAGTATTTGCCCTTAAGGAGTAGTTGTTTTAGGTCAGAGAAACCTTGTTGAAGTTCATGAAATTGGTGCTGGGTATCCAGTTTCATTGAAGCAATAAATTCATCAATTGTTGCTACGTTCTTTTCTAGTAACTCTATTTTGGAATCCATTTCTCGTTTTGGTCATGGACGAAAGACTCTGCAGGTCTGACCAATGATAGAGAAGTGAACAGAAGCAATAGAAAAAAAAAAAAGAATAACAGATGAGGAATTTCAGAGAATTAAATGGCTAATCTGAAGAATACACTGTATTAATTTCTCAATCCAAAAAGCTACAAGATGACTGGAAAATTCTGGAAACAGGAACCAACTACTAACAGAAAAAGAAAAGGATAAATGACTGATAGAATCAGCCCCCAGGCCACAGCCTGTTCAGAGAATTCTTCCCTATAATAGTTGGTTGTCCAAATATGCCTTTCTCACTCCTTGATTCCGCATATAAAGATCACAGCTCTAACTAACTTGTATGACGTGGCTTATTTCCTTGTTCCCCAATCTTGCTAGCCTTAGCTGTCTTCCCTCTTCTAGAATATACCAAATAGGGCTGTGGGCCTGTTAGAGCAGTATTTGTATCACCGCCACAGTGAAAGTTGGACTAGGCCCAAGTTGGGCCAAATATATTTTTCGTTGTTCATTTATGCCGACTCATAATGTAATTGTTCTTGAAGTTGCCTTATAATGTCTGATCATATGCTTAAATGTAAATGTATAAAGGGCCAATGGATGCGAGCATCTTCACGTTACCTTGTGCATTATAGGGCTTTTTTTTGGTCAGTTTGTAATTTCATAAGTTATAATAGAGTTTTCTATCTCGTTCGCTGTCAATGGCACAAATGATCATTTTGATGGGTGACAGGTCCAAAATGCCATTGATTTTCTGAAGATGATTGGTGCTCTGGATGAGGAGGAGAATCTAACTAATCTTGGTAAGCTTGCTTTTTTTTTTTTTTTTTTTTTATCAGGGAACTTTTTATCAATGCTTCCAGTAGATCCCAAGCTAGGGAAAATGCTAATTATGGGTTCTATCTTTCGTTGCTTTGACCCCATCTTGACAATTGTATCTGGCCTTAGTGTCAGGGATCCTTTCCTTCTTCCACAAGAGAAAAAGGATGTAAGTAGCCTATTGCGGTGTTTTATTTGGCTTCTCAAAGTTTTATTATGATGTCTGAAACTGTATATGGAAGTATTCAAGCATAATTCACGTACATTGCTTTTTCGAAATATGTTTATTAGTAGTTTGAATTTGCAAGTCCTTGCTGTAATTTCACAAGGCAAGATGAGAACCCAGTTGGGAAGAAAACTAGTAAATGTCAATGCGACATATAAATTCATAGTACAAAAGAAATTGATTTTAAACTTGCTATTGAAACCACATAATTGTAATAAACTCCAACTTTTATTTCAATCGATATAGAATAAGAAAGCTTTTGGACCAGTTGGGTGAACTTCATGAGATGGTATCATATCTTATTTGTTCTCATTTGGTGCTAGTGGTAGTCAAGATGTTTGTGAGTTTGTTAGAAATAGAAGACTCTTCAGCCATGGATCACACCGTGTCATGAAGTTTGTGAGTTATTGCTAGAATAAATGCAACTGTCAGGTTCCATTGTCGGGATCCTCATTAAATAATGATTTTTCTTCCTGGTTTAGTTAGCTGGGACAGCGAAGTCTAGATTTTCTGCAAAAGACTACAGTGATCACATGGCTCTTGTCCGTGCATATGAAGGTTGGAAAGATGCAGAACGAGAAGGGTCAGCTTATGAGTATTGCTGGAGAAATTTCCTATCTGCACAAACTCTACAAGCCATCCATTCTCTCAGGAAGCAGTTTAGCTTCATTTTAAGAGATGCTGGGTTAGTCGATGCAGATGCAGGCAACAACAACAGATTAAGTCACGACCAGTCCTTGGTTCGTGCGATCATATGCTCTGGCCTCTATCCTGGCATAACATCAGTAGTGGTATGCTATGTCTACTTAAAATTTATTTTCATTTTTCACCAGAAATTTATTAGTTGATCTTTTGCTGTTTTTTCATCATGTGCAGCACAGAGAAACATCCATGTCTTTCAAGACTATGGATGATGGCCAAGTTCTACTATATGCTGTAAGTGTAAAACTCAAACTAGTGAACCCAATCTATACTTTTGTTTGCATAGGGCTTGTATATGGATAGTTCATATGCTTGTGCTTGGAAAGCTTGAATTTCTAGAAAGATTCTACAAATGCTCATTTTTCAGTTGGGTCTGCTCTAACTTTGAGTTACACTGCATATGTAATATGTCATTGCCTCGCATCTGGAAATGAGGGATTATTATTATTATTATTATCATTATTATTATTATTTTTGAGATTGAAATAACAATTGAATTTGATGAAGTATGCATTATATAACCAACAATACCAACTATAAGATCATAAGCATCCATTTTATACTTTGGTTACAGGGATATCTCTCAAAGTGAAAGAGTTATTGTATTTTTCTTTTCCAATTAATCAAACAATATGAAACAGTTGAAATTTCTCATAACATCTCTTTTTAACATACAAAAATTAGACAAATGTTTGTACTTTGTTCTCTTTCTTTTTTTTATCTCATGGTTAAAAGGTTAACCTTTCCTTTCTAATCCAACCTACCCTCCCCCCTGAAACACAAAACACACGCGCGCGCGCACACACACACACACACACACACACATGCACGCACCAACCGGTAAAAAGAAAGAGATAATGATAAGAGTTGGAAAAGCTTGAGAAAAAAATATGAAACATTTCATTAGGAAGAAGTGTATAGATAAAAAAAATACAGTTTGTTCATTATTTTCAACGAAGAAAAGATCTCAGAATCCAATCCATGGGATAGAACCAAGGAATTATTGCTTTTTATTATTGGGATGGTACAAAGTACGGAACAAAGTTGGATAGTTTCATTTTTTTATTTTTTTATTTTTTTTGAGTATTCCAATTAATTGGGATGTGCTTTTTTAATGATATTTCTGGTTTGAACTTTTAAGAATATTAGATAGATAATATGCAATTTTTTCTTGGCGTTATGTGGGCCAGCATATTGGAGCAAAAGGAAGGCATTGGAGTGGTTAATTGAGAGTATATTGGAGATATTCTCTCGTCCATTTCTTCTCCTTTTCTATTATTATTTTTATCCTTTTCTTTTCTCTCTCTTGTTTTCTATCTCATTGCTTTACGCAAAGTTACTAAAAATTAGTAGAACGTCAGTGTAAAGAATCTAAGAACTTATTTTCGCATGACAGTATCTAAGTCAGTGAGAGAATTTTCTTAACTGAACAGTTCCTGCAAATGTGAAAATTGTAAAATCAAAAAATTAGGGATCCTTAGCAAGAACAGCAATATATATGTAGCTGCATCATATATCCATCCATCTGTTAATGTTAATTTGTATGTGTTTTCTGTTTGGTTGTCCAGTGTTGTTTCCTTTATTATCATTACTTGAATAATTGTGTCATGCCTTAGACAATTTAATAATAACTTGTTTCTGGTTCAGAATTCTGTAAATGCACGTTATCAGACAATTCCTTACCCATGGCTGGTCTTTGGTGAAAAAGTTAAGGTCAATACTGTTTTTATACGTGATTCCACTGGCGTATCTGATTCGATACTGATCCTTTTTGGTGGTGCTCTCAGTTGTGGTGGGCAGGTGATTACTTTATTGGGAAGTTAATTCTTTTGTATTTATGGATTATATAATCATTGATCACTAAATTTTCTGTATGCAGGCTGGCCATCTGAAAATGTTGGAAGGGTATATCGATTTCTTTATGGATCCTAGTTTGGCAGAGTGCTACTTGAACCTTAAGGAAGAATTAGACAGGCTTGTTCAAAAGAAGGTAAGGGTGAAGAAAAAAAGTTCATAATTATGGGACAACATAAACAATTTTCAGAGCAAAAATATAAATGAAATATGTGACTAACAATTTTGAGGGTCCTTTGCATATCTTGGAAGAAATATTTGAACCACAACATAAGAAACAAAACATTTTTGAAAGTACATATAAGAAATTATAAGAAACATCAAGGCTGTTTTGAAGTTATTTAGGCAAATCTCAGAGACTCTTGTAATTGTAAAGTTTAGAAAATATTTGAAGCTTTTGCTTGATCTATCACTCAAACATGTTAGGTTTAAATAGAATCAAGAATCAATACAAATATGGTGATACAATCTTTGCAAATCCAAATCATAATCGCAGCTATAACTCTAGAGTATATTCTAATAATTACAATATATTCTAATGCTCTCCCTCAAATTGGAGCATGCATATCATATGCTCGTAGCTTGTTACAAATGTATTTAATCCGAGGACCTCTAAGAGATTTGGTAAGAATATATATAAATTGATCATTTGAATTGATGGAGGTAACAATACGGCTTTACTGAATAATCTGTCTAATACAATGATATTCTATCTTTATATTTTTCATTCTTTCAGGAAACATTTGATTTGATGCAATATGCAGTGCTGCCTGATTATCACATATTAGTTTCATCTATTTCATTTCGCCACACTTCAACTCTTGAAGAAGTTGTTTTAGCCAAATGAGTTAACAAGTAGCCAATTCTACGACTCGATATTCCGCTTTTGCATTTGATCTGGCCACAACACCTTGCTTTTTACTTTTCCAAGATATTAGATTCCCTCCAATCGTAACACAGCAGCCTGAAGTCGATCGTCTATCAGAAGGAAAGTCTGCCCAATCTGCATCAGACTAGCCAACTACTTGTTTATGACTTTTGTCTTCATAGAATAAGCCTTGCCAGGGGTACCTTTGACATACCTTAGAATGCAAACATCCCAATGGCTATTACATGGGGACTGGAGAAATTGGCTAATCACACTCCCTACAAAAATAATATATTGTCGTATGATTGTGAGATAATTAACCTTATTGGCAAGTCTTCTGTATCGACTAGGATCTTTAAATGGCTCTTTCTATCCCAAAACAAGTTTCACATTGGGTTCTATAAGAGTATCCACAGGTTTGCAGTCTATTATGCATATTTCCTCTATGAAATCGCAACATCCGTCTTGGATTGTGCTATCTCTATCCTTAAAAAGTGTTTTAGTTTTCCTCAGTCTTTGGTTTGAAAGTGGCTAAATAAATAAATGCTGCTTAAGTTGGGAGATCCCTTCATGATCATTGCCTATTATGAAAATATAATCAACATAGACAACCAAGTAAGTGCATTTACCATGATCTCCATGTCAGTAAAAGCCTGAATGATAAGCTTCACTCCGACTCATGCCAAATTGTTGAACACTAACTCTTCCAAACCATGCACGTGGAGATTGTTTCTAACCATGCAGAGATCGACGTAGTCGACATACCAAACTAGACTCCCTTGAGCATCAAAACCAGGTGGTTGCTCCATATATACTTCTTCAGCCAACTCTGTAGGAAAGCATTTTAATATCAAGTTGATGAAGAGGCTAGTGATAAATGGCTGCCAGAGAGAGAAGTCGGGTAGAAGCAATCTTTGCCACTGGTGAAAAGGTACCATAGCAGTCTAGACCATAAATTCGTGCGTGCTAGCTACAAGCGTAGATTTCAAACGGTCATTTTGCAATCAGGACCAACTTTGACAGTGTAAACCCAACACAACACAAGCAACAATACTTTTGCCAGGAGGTAATGAAACAATTTCCCAGTTGCCATTATGGTGAAGAGTAATCATCTCTTCAGTCATAGCTAAGGAGAAACCGGGATAGGCAAGTGCTTCATGACATTCTTAGGTATAGAAACAACAAACAAGGTGGAAACAAAGGCATAATAGGAAGGGGATAAACGATGATAACTCAAGAAATTGTAAATAGGATGAGGATTTCGAGTAAAATGAATACCTTTTCGATGAGCAATGGGAGTAGTAGTTGCCTCTGTGATTGGCATGGCCAGTGTAGGAGGTGAGACCGGTGTAGGAGGTGAATCACTAGGTTGTTTACCTGTATCCAAAACAAGGTCAGTAGTAGGACAACGAGAATAGACTTGAAGAGATCAAGATATGGCTGGAGTTGGAAGAATAGGGATCGGAAGGACTTCATAAACTTAGTGTTGATGAGTTGGTTGACTTGGAAAATAAGGAGTAGTCTCGAAAAAGGTTACACCTGCAGAGACAAAACTTAGAGGAAATAGGGTTATATCATTTGTATCCTTTTTGTAAATGAGAGTAACCTAAGAAGACACACATAATTGACTTGGGTTGAAGCTTTTCTATCCTAGAACAACGAGAATAGACTTGAAGAGATCAAGATATGGCTGGAGTTGGAAGAATAGGGATCGGAAGGACTTCATAAACTAAGTGTTGATGAGTTGGTTGACTTGGAAAATAAGGACTACTCTCGAAAAAGGTACACCTGCAGAGACAACTTAAGGAAATAGGGCCTATATCATTTGTATGCTTTTTGTAAACGAGAGTAACCTAAGAAGACACACTTAATCGACTTGGGCTGAAGCTTTTCTATCCCAAGAGTATGGTCACGGATAAAGCAAGTAAAAAAAAAAAAAAAAAAAAAAAGTGATGTGGAACATGATTATAAAGAAGTAGAATATGAGCTATTTTAATGAGATGGTGATTCTTTCATTCGACGATCCAATTTTGTTGAGGTGTATATGCACAAGAGGACTGATGAAGGATACCTTGAGAAGACAAACTCGTTAAATGGTTGAGAAAAATATTCTCAAGCATTATCACTGCGTAATATTTTAATGGAAACACCAAACTGATTTCAAATCTCAACACAATTTTTGAAAGATGGAAAATAATTCTGAACGATTTTTCTTTAGGATCAACCAAGTACAATAGGAACAGTCATCAATAAAGGTAACAAAATAATTAAATCCCAAAGTTGTACTGACACGACTAGGACCCCAAACATCTGAATGAACAATTTCAAACATAAATGAGGCTTTATTATTGACATGCTTAGAAAAAGAAACATGAAGTTTGTTTCTCAAGTTGACATGAGTCACACTCTAAAACAGTTAATCAAGTTAAATTAGGAACTAAATGTTGAAGTTTGGTAAGATTGGGACGTTCGAATTGGTTGTGAAGAAGTTCAGCGGAAGTAGTAGAAGCAAAAGCAACAGTGGTTCTGGGAGTGGAGAGGTAGTACAGCCCTTGTGACTCATATCCTGCATCAATCATCTTCCCCATACGTCGATACTCTACAAAGACATAGTCAGCTATAAAGGACACAATGCAATTAAGTTGTTTGGACAATTTACTAATAGAAAGTAGATTATAAAGGCATTCAGGAGTGAACAAGAGTGATGTCATGGTCATTGAAGGAGGAGGTTGAACTTCCCCAAGGCATTTAACCTCAGTTTGGGAATCATTAGCAAGGGTAATTATAGATGAGTCTGGAGGGTGAGAGTAGAGAAAAGTTTTCCATTACTAGAAATGTGATCAGAAGCACCGGAGTCAAAAACCCAAGGATCATTGGTTAGTCATTAGGAAACCTAAGTGCTAGACTGAGATACAGATGATGACTGTTGTAATGCTTGTTGTTTGGCAGCCTGAAAGTGTACATATTCATCATAATCGGATCCCGTCAAAGTGCCCGAATTACTTGATGCACCAGGCAAATGAAGGATTCCAGCTCTGTTACTATGGACCATATGAGTGACTAACTGTTAATGTTGTGGTGGTTTACCATGTAATGTCCAATAGGTCTCCCGGGTATGACCAGGTTTTATTACAGCGAGTACAATGTTTAGATTTGTTTCCTTTCCATTTTTGACTACCGTTCTGTAGAACAAACATAGATGCTTCAATATTAGGAGATGAAGCTGAAGTCACAGAAATGCGAAGAAGGCGAGCAGAAATATCTTCCAGAGTAAGGATAACAGAACTTGTCAATATTTGATCTCGTACGGAACTAAAATCAAGTCGAAGACCTATAAGTGCCATGACCATGAAGAATTTATTCCTTTATTGTTCTTGTGCAGTAATACTCTCTGAGAAAGGCTTAACGAAATAAAATTCATCAAGTAATGTTTCAACTTGTCCAAGATGACTAGCCATATCTTGTTGATTTTGCTGCAAATGGACAATATCAGAGACAATTTTTTATATTTGTTATATGTTATTTGTATACAATGTCTTGGCTTTAGTCTAGACCTTACAACAAGTTTTGCAAGATTGAAATGAAGGAAGGAGTTTGGAATCAAGAGAATGCCACAACAAACTACACAATTGTGCATCAATCTTGACCATGTTGTCCTATCTGTGGCAACAATATCAACAACTTCTTTGGTTAAGTGATCATCATATCCCTTCCTCATAAACCATAATTCTACAGATGAAGCCCATGAAATATAGTTACTGTTGCCTGACAATTTAACTGTAGTAATAGTACGTATTAGAGAAAAGAGGTTTAAACAGATTGGATGATGAAGATTCAGTAGTTCTAGTCATTGTGATACTGAATAAGGGTAAAGAAAGAAAATTGTACCTTTTTTAGAAGAAATAAAGGGTTGTTTGTACCTTGGTAGAAGAAAGAGAAGGACCCAGTGAAAGGGGTGACCAGAAAAAGGACCGCCAGACTCAGGTGAACTAGACGGTGGTATCCGTTGAACTAGACGGTGGTATCCGTTCTAGGAGAATTCGCTGGAAAGTGGGCTCACACGCCAGCGTGTGTACTGGCCGACAGAAGCTTGTGGTGGTGTGTGGACAGTGACGACAGGCTTCGGAGATGAGATTGAATGATTGAGGTTGTTAGCTACTAGCACTTCTTCTGAGATAGGCAATGAGAACCGTAGATTGGTAGGGTTGTGTGTTTTGTGCTTCGGCAAAAAAAAGGGTAGAGCTGAAACTAGAACAAAATCAGAGAAGAAGAAATCAGGTTTGTTTGGCTTTGATATCCTATAAAGTTTAGAGAATATTTGAAGCTTTTGCTTGATCATTCTCTTAAGCATGTTAGGTTTAAATAGAATCAAGAATCAATACAAATATGGTAATACAATCTTTACAAATCCTAATCGTAATCACAACTATAACTCTAGAATATATTCTAATAATTAAAACATATTCTAACAATAATCAAACCATAGTAAATTATTATATGGGAGAATTATGATTTAATTCATGTATTTTACCATAATATACAGCATTGCCTCTGCATTTTTAGAAATACATGGTTTTGTCCTTATCTTTTATCACACTGTTATATAATTTTGTCAAATTTTTTGTACTTTTCTGTCAACAAATTACTATTTTTCCAATATCCATGTATTTATTAACTATTTGTCCTTGTATTTTATCAAAATTAGCTAATCTGTCTCTATATTTAACAAAAAAGTACAAAGACTTGAAAGAAGGATATAGCGTCACGAAGGCAAAAGATGGGGATAAAATTATGTATTTCTAAAGTACAGGGTCAAAGTCTTGCATTTTGTCAAAATGCAAGGATAAGATAGTAATTTTCCCTTATTATATTCCTTGAACTATTTCCTATGAAAACCTGCCAAAATCTGCTTTGAAGATGACCTCCTTTATTGTTTGAAAGTTCTCGCACTTGTGGACACTTTTTGTTTGAACGAAATTTCTTACTTTGAACAGTTTATATAGCATAATGATAATGATGGAGGTGCTAGTTCCTATCATTTATCTACTTAATGATATTTCTTGACTCAAAATATTGACTGATTCTTGAGTTCTTACATCTTGATTTGTATTAAATTGTTTCTGTTAGAGGGGTCCAGTATAGTGGAACACTAAGTTGGTTGAGCATTGAACTTTGGAATTGGAAGTTTTTCAAAAATAAATGATATTTATTTCTAATACCGAGTGATATGGCCTTGCAATGATGCAGCTACAAGATCCTACCGTTGACATTCATAAGGAAGGAAAATACCTCCTTCTTGCAGTTCAAGAGCTGGTGTCAGGAGATCAATGTGAAGGGAGATTCGTCTTTGGACGTGAAAGCAGAAGGCCAAAGGAGTCGAGTGAAAGCAGATTTACAAAGGATGGAACAAATCCAAAGAGCTTGCTACAAACTCTGTTGATGAGAGCAGGGCACTCCCCTCCAAAATACAAAACAAAGCACCTTAAGACGAATGAGTTTAGGGCTCTAGTTGAATTCAAAGGAATGCAATTTGTTGGGAAACCCAAGAAAAACAAGCAACTTGCCGAGAGAGATGCTGCTATTGAGGCGTTGGCCTGGTTGACTCACACCAGTGACAACCACCAAGACGAACATGATAACTCACCCCCAGATGTTACTGACAACATGTTGAAACTTCTAGGAAAGCGCCGTAGGTCGAAGCGCTGTTCTGGTTGATGGTTCTGCTGTGCACCATTTTCTTGACAGATGCATGGCAACCAAGAAAATACATAATTTTTGAGGAAGAGAGATACACGATGCATCCATTTGCTGTAAATCTCTAAGAAAACTTTAGTTTTTTTTCCATTAAAGGGCAGCAATATAGATTATAGAGCAAGCATTCTTGTAGATTTCGCAAGTATCGAGCTTAATAATATAGTGGTGTTGTTAGACAAGGCGTCAGTGGTACAGGGCTAGTCCAGATGCATGCAAAATTCCCAGATGCCCGCTTTCTCTTGTCTGGTATCAGATATTACAGTTCTCAATGCACTATCTGAAGGGATTGCCAGCCTTCGTTTTTATGTTGATCTAGACAGCTGGTTGAGGGGGAAATTTACAGTTGGTTCATAGCTGATTACATATTGATATTGCATACACTTGAGTGGCAGGTTCTTTACAAAGGAATACAAGAAATAGTCTATTCGCAGGTTTGAGCTTTGGTTTTATGAATTATCCGCAGGTTAATAAGATTTAGATTTTTTTTTCTTATTAATTTATGCTTAATTTGTTAAATTGGAGGATGTTTACAGCAAATACTTGTGAAATCTTCAGGGGATGTATGCAAGTGAGTGTTTGATGACCTTTGTTTTGCAGCTGCTGTAGGATTGTGGATAAATGGATTGGTGAATGATTGTTTTAAATTAAAACCAGTTAAGTAAACAAAATAAGTGAAGCCTATGGATTGAAAAATAATTGCAAGAAAAGATGGGATGCAAAGTGTGCTGAAAAACAATTGCCCATGGATTCATCTGTGAGACATTTTCTTAAAATTCTTGGAGGTCTGTATCAAAGTTCACCTCATGAAACCACTCTCAAATGTTTATATATGCTAAATTTCTCAAGAAGATCCTATCAAACAAAAGGGAGCTCGAAGAATATGAGACATGAAAGAATACAATGCAAAATGACATTTCTCCTAAACTTAAGGATCTTGTATTGGTAATGTGTGTATAAGAATGCCTCTATCATTTTGGAGCTAATGTCAGTTTGATGCCCTAAACAATTTTTTTAAAACTGAATCATCACTTAATCGCAATTGGCGGATAAATCCATGGTTGAAATCTTAGAAGATGTACCTATTAAAGTTGGTAAATTTCATATTTCAGAGGACTTCTAAATTTGTACCACACTTGGACGACCTTAAACACCTTAAACAATTCAGTATCAACCTAAGCAACATGCCATGGCTTGCCATTCCATACGAGGACAGGACGTGGCGAGTCCTCTGTAGGATCTTCAACATTATTTTTTAAAGAAAGAGGATGTAGTATGCAAGATAATTTGTCATTTATCATAAGAGCTTCAATAGCTAAAGGAAGCTCAAACCAAATTTGGAAGCTAGCATAATAATAAGAGGCCTTTGCTAAAGTATCAGCGACATTATTCGCTTGCCTCCAACCGAGCAAACTATAACATTGTTGCTGTTGCTAATTATATGACGATAATCTTCCAAGATGAGGTGCCATTCAGAAATCCTCGAAGAAGAGCCCAACTATTCCTTCCAAAAATCCTGAGCATCTGTCTCAAATACATTTGAAATTCCCTCTGCTTGATCCAGGAGAGGACCTCACGTAGTCCGACGGCCTTCCGTCTGGCTAGTTGTGTAAACGCCGTGACAATACTCTGATGATCCCAGGAGAAAACCTCCATTACTATCACGGAGCACAACACCGTATCTAGTCCGGTTTTGGTTCCCGAAGGTAGTTGCATCGATATTACACTTAACAAAACCCAGTGGGGGACCCTTCCAGCAGCATACCACATTGTCCTCATCCTCAACGTTCGCTGCATGGAGAGTTTCTTGTGCTTTACGCCAATTATACAAATTAATGAGCCATCCACAACGACACTGTAACAGTAGGCTGGTGCTGCTCCAATTTCCAGGTAGCCAGGTTCCGATGGAACCACAGAAGCCATGCCACTGTTACACACCTTTAGCTTCTCATTATCATATGCACGATGAATAGCCCCAAACCAATCTAAGAACGTTTCACCTGCAAAGTCAGCCATGGATACCTGCAAAATAGACCAACAGGCCAAAGCCCTTGGACACAAGACAGTAGCATGTGGTGTATTTTCCTCCATACCATAGTAGAAACACTAAATTAGCAACAGGGACCGATTTTTTAATTAAGTTAGAGCATGTGGGGAGTGTTTCTCTGGCAGCTTGCCATGCAATTGCATGTTCCATAAGGCTTTCCAAATAGGAATCAGTGGAGAGGTATGATTAGAGATTCGTTGAAAGGCCAAGAAGTAAGCTGTCCTAACAACCATTCTTTGTCCAATGCCACAAAAGCTTGTCCGAGACAGAACTCAAACTCAAAGGGTTTTGAAGAATAATCATAGCTTCCTCAGGTGCAACCAGACCCCTTATAATATCCACATCTCACTTCCGTCTTGCTTGATCAATGAGGTTAAAGACTAGCAACGTCTCAAACCCATCAAGAGCCACAGGTTGCACATAGAACCTCCCGTCCCTATTTAGCCATGGGTCGGAGAAAACTTTAATGTAAAGACCATCCCCCACCCTCCATCGAGTTCCTTCACTTAGCACCTGCTGAGAATGCATAAGACTCCTCCATGTAAAGCTTAGGTTATTCCCTAAATCGGTATCGTAAATATTTCCATCCGGATAATATCTAGCTTTGAGGACCAAAGATAGAAGAGTACTATGGTTGGTGGATAATTGCCAACCCTGCTTACCCGAAAGTGCTAAATTGAAACTATGAAGGTGTCGAAAATCCGTCCCTCCTTTCCGCTTACTTGCACACATCCTCTCCCATGACAGCCAATGAATAGATCTCCTATCATCCTTGTTTTTTTTTTTTCCCACCAAACTATTCATCATTCTTTCCAGCTCCACACATAAAGAAATAGTTATGGGAAAAATACTCATACAGTAAGATGATATAGTTTGTGCTGCGGATTTCAACAACATTTCCTTCCCGGCTTTAGACAAAAAACGATGCTTCCACTCCTGTAATCTATTCCACAAATGATCTTGCAAAAAAGCAAAAACACGCTTCTTACTTCTCCCAATCAAGGAAGGGAGTCCAAAGTAATGGTCATGGTCTAAAGGAGTTGAGACCCTTTAAATATTCGAATAGATAATTTTATATTCTTAGGTACATTAGGACTGAAGAACATACCTGACTTCTGAAAATTCACTGACTGTCCCGATGCCCGTCCATAGGTATTCAAAATGTTCTTAACTACAGTCCCTTCTCACTTCGTGGCTTCGAAAAAGAAGTAATTATCGATGGTAAACATGATATATGAAACACTTGGGGCCCGACTATTCAGCTTACACCCATGAATATCCCTAGTAAGTTCTGCGCGCTTAAATAAAGCCGACAACCCCTCTGCACAGATAAAAAATAAATATGGTGAAAGCGGTCCCCCTGTCATAAACCCTACGCTGGTGTGACCTAACCAACCGCACTTCTATTCAAACAAATGTTATATTTCACAGGACAAATGCACAACATAATTGATTCTATTCATCTATCCATGAATCCCATTTTCTGCATAACGGCCTCCAAAAAATCCCAATGCACATAATCATATGCCTTGCTAATATCAACTTTCAAAGCTGCAAGGCACTTCTTCCCCGTAGTTTTCCTTTTCATGAAACGGATAAGTTGAAAAGCTACTAAGATGTTGTCTGTTATCAGCCATCTAGGCACAAAAGCTGATTGGGAGACTGAAATGATTTTATCCAAGGCAACTTTAAGCTAATTTGCTAGGACTTTAGCTACAATTTTATAGATTACATTACATAAAGAAATAATCTTGAAATCTTTGACATGTTGGGGTTTATTAATCTTCGGTATCACCACAATATTAGTGACATTAAGAGAATCTGAAAAAAATACCTGAGTTCAACCAGCTAAGACAGCATTGCGTAACCATCCCCCACAATACCTAGAATTTCTAGTAAAAACACGGATTCATGCCATCCGGGCTCAGCGCTCTGTCCGGGTGCATCTGAAACAAAGCCTTCCATATCTCATCCACGAAAAAGGAGCTAGCAATAAATTATTATCGACCTCGAGAATAGAAGAAGGGATAAGTCGTACTAGCAGGTCACAGTCAGTAGACATATTAGGGAATAAATTATTAAAATAATCAATCACAATATTACCCATAGCCTGAGGGTCCTCACAACAATTTTCATTTTCATCAAATAAACCAGTTACAGGAGCAAAAGTGTTGGGTAGATACAACTTAGATTTTTTTTCTTAATCTCTCTATGCCTATTAAAAATTCCCTTATTGTATTAGTTTGCACTGGTCAAACCACCCCTATAATTATTCTTTGCCTCATATTAGTATGATTTTTTGATATAAAAACTTATTATATACAAAATTTGAATGATTAAATAACAAATTTTATTCGCAACACATATACATATCATATTACATTTAACCAACTTGATTATGAATGTAATACCCCTTTCGCTCCCGCAGAACCAAGCAAAAGATGTTACATTCCGCCGAAGACACATACTGACTTAATTGCTCAATACTTATTCAGTTAATTAATAAAAAAAAGTTTATTTTATAAAAATGTTGGAGTTTCAAAAATTTTAAAGTATGAAGCGGAATACTGAGTAATAAACTTATATAACAAATTAAGTTTAGTAGATAACAAAATTTGTTCAAATGAGATTATAGGTAAAGCCCCTCAAACAGACTCATTAAAATAGTCTAGGAAAAAAAACATAGTCCACATGATACATCAACCTTACATCTTAAAAGAAGTTCAATAAATTTAAAATAGGATAAAAGATTTCAGACGAAATATCAGAACTAATTCCAGTAATACTTAAACAAGAGACTTATAAAGTATTTAATCCAAAAATAATTACAATGTTCCTAAACTTATTAATTAGAAACCCTAATGATAGAACCAATACCCTCAATGAAATAAAACTAACACATGCCACGAGTCCACTTTAAGGACTCTCACCTATGACTGGAGATCTGAAGACTTCATCCTCTGACTGTAGATACTCAGGAACTAAACAACAATCCAAGTCTTCAACCACGTGAGATGAAATCATCGCGCTGAGTATAAAACTTAGCGGTACTCAACATATAGATGCATACACCAGGCACACAAGTATGGTTCACTGAAACCATACATATTTAAACCATATAATCCATGGCATCAAACATAACAGTTCATATCAACTCCATCTAAATACAATGGTTATCAAGCAAGGAGTTTCACCTTATAACTCTAACACAAATGATTATACATCATTTTAATAAGCTTAAATACACGGCAAAGTTATAACAATAGTAACCAGAATTCCAAGTAATTAAACATTAGTTGCAATATAAGAAAGTTGCATTACAAGCAACAACATAACTGTATGACTTTAAGTAACTTGTGTCACATGTAATCATATAACAGTATTAACATTAGTAATTCATATCTCATGAGGCTCGTTTCAATTCTCAATGTAATAGAATACAAACAACTCAGGTATCAATGATCATATTTCTTTATATTTCAAACACACACTACTTCAGAATGTCGACAAAATGTACACCACATCAGAATAAATTTAGAGTATATCCTTTTTATTAGATGGATTCAGAGCATATGTACTATATCAAGATATTATCAGAATATATACTTATACTGAAACATTAATAGTCATAATGCCATATCAGAATGTTATCAGTCTTACTGACAAATTAGAAAATGAAAATTTTGACTTACTAAAAGAGTGGCGATTCCACAAGTATCATCCTCAAGTATATTCAAGATATTATTCAGAATAATATACTTTATACTTGAAACATTAATAGTCATAATGCCATAATCAGAATGTTATCAAGTCTTCAACATGAACAAAATTAGAAAATGAAACATTTTGACTGTACCTAAAAGCAGTGGCGATTTCCACAAGTATCATCCCTCCCTCGAAGAGGACATCAATTTGAGTAACCCTTATAGAAAGGATTATGAATAGAACTTCAACTAGAAGGAATTAGGTTTTGATAAATGTTTTTTCGTTCTCCAAATAGAATACCTAAAAATATAGAAGATTGCACTACAATAATGATGAAAGTTGGATTGTTTCTTATGCAAAAGAACAGAATCAGTTTGTAAGATAAACTAAGTTTGGAAACTTGTTTTTTCTAGACGCTAAAAACGCATAATATTATTGGAACAAAATGGGGATTTAGAAATGAAGCTTGATGATAAAAATATAGAAGATGCTCAAAATGATGAAAGTTGGATTGTTGCTATGCAAGAAGAACAGAATCAGTTTGAGATAAACTAAGTTTGGAAACTTGTTTCTAGACCTAAAAACCATTATATTATTGGAACAAAATGGATGTTTAGAAATAAGCTTGATGAACACGGTAAAGTTGTGAGAAACAAAGCTAGATTAGTGGCTCAAGGGTACAATCAAGAAGAGGGCATCAATTTTGATGAAACCTTACTTCAGTTGCTAGACTTGAGGCCATTAGAAGCTTTGTGCATTTGCTTGTTTTAAAAACTTCATGCTGTATCAAATGGATGTAAAAATTGCTTTTATAAACGGTTTTCTAAATGAAGAAGTGTATGTAGAATAACCACCCGGTTTTAAAATGTATGAAAAACCAAATCATTTTTATAAACTTACTAAAGCTCTTCATAGTTTAAAACAAGCTCTTAGAGCTTGGTATGAAAGATTGAGTAAGTTTTATTGGAAAATAGTTTTTCTAGAGGAAAGGTGGATACTACACTATTTATTAGAAACAAAGCACCTGATATTCTAGTTGTGCAAATCTATGTGGATGACATAATCTTTGGTCCTACTAACGACCTTTTTTATAAGGAATTTTCTAAGATTATGCAAGGTGAGTTTGAAACGAGTATAATGGGAGAACTAAACTTCTTCCTTGGGCTTCAAATCAAACAATGTGACGATGGAATCTTCATAAACCAAAGCAAGTACACTTAATAACTATTAAAAAGTTTAAAATGGAGAATGCTAAGGTATGTAGCACAATAATCAACCCATCCTCAAAATTAAAAAAAAGATGAAAATGGAAGATGTGGATGTTAAGTTGTTTAGAAGTATGATTGATTCTTATTATATCTAACTGTAAGCAGACCTTTGTTGACTATGATTTCAGCATCGGGCTCTAGAAAATTTCGGCATGGTTCCAACGGCATGAGAATCAGCCCGATTGGATATTGTTTGGGCCTTGAATGGACCTCCGAAAGCCCAAAAACCCCAAAATCAAAGGCCAGGGGCAGGGCAGTAATGTGCCTTGATCGGGGCCGACCAGCTCCTAGCTAACACCGATGAGCTCAAAATCCGTATCGATTTGGTGCCGACCGAGCACCTCAATCGGTACCGATTTTAGGGACCTTGGTACCATCACATTCCTGACCCAGCAGCCTCTTGGCCTATAAATATGGCCCTTTCCCCCTCATTTCAGGCACCTCTTGCTGCTTGATCGGGCACTTCTCAAGCATCAACGACTCTCAATCTCCCTTGAACAATTCTAAGGCCTTATAGTCCAACTATGCTCTTCTTCCTTAGTTGAGCCAAAGCCCAACTTGGATCTCAAAGTCGATCCTTTCGACTTTCACTAGCACTTTAGTCTTCCTTAGACTAAAGCTATTATTTAATTAATAAAAGAATTAATTAATAATTTGTAATTAACACTAGTATATAAGACTATAATTCGGGTCCTCGCGTCCTTCCCTAACTTGATTTGGAGGAAGACTCGACCTCTTTGGTCGTTAACCATTGTGGAGCTCTGATCCAGCTGCATCACGAGTGCAAGGGTATAACCACACTAAACTTAAATCTTTATCAACTAAGCTCGGTTCGTCCGGCACCTTATATCTATCAAGCACGGTCCATCTAGCACATAGCATGCTTTGAAGCCCGGTCCGTCTGGTAAAACTAATAAAACCAGTTTTCAACTCTAAGCTCGGTTTGCTCAGCAAACCTTTTAAGCCCACTCCTCAAGTGGCACCCTCAAAACCCTACCATCCTGATCGATGGTAGAACTTCGTGCACCTTGATCCTCATGCAAACGAGAGGCATACTTACGGATTTCAGCCTAGGTAGCGAGGCCCCCAACCAAACTGACCGGTTAGGATTTACAAGAATGTGTCTCATGACCTAGAATCCTCGATAAACGAGGCTAGAGTCGGGCTCCCCTCCAAATTACATACCCTTTATTTGTTTATTTACTTTTAATGCACTATATTCCTAATATTGCCATGTATTATTAGTATGCTCATGCATTGCAGGGTTTTTTTCCTTAATATTTATTTGAAAACAAAAACAAATTAAAGTGGCGACTCAATCACATTAGACACCTGTCAAAGCACTCCAAAGAGCGAACCTGACATAACTTAAGTGCTAAACAGAGCCACAATCTATTAATCTGACCAACAAAAGGAATCGTAAGGAGTTCGTCCCAGTTTCCGTGATGAATCGGTCAATGGGCCCGACCGGATCAAGGACTCCATCATTCGAACATCCTTTCCCTCGGTGCTCGACGGGAGCGCACAACGAGTGACTCTACTAGGGAATTAAACATTTTTTACAAACTAAAAAATGTAGTAAGAGGACTACCGGTAAGCTTCAAATCTCCGGTTTGGGTCTTATTGAAAAATCACCTTTGCATACATTCAGATGCATCATTTGTGATCCTTTCCCATCATTAGAATTAAGCAAACCAAGTTGCTATTATCACTTAGGGGCAATCTTCCTTAGAGCTGCCTCGAGTAGAGAAAGCTGCTCACCCAATCCTGGGTACCTCTGTTCCTCAGTAGGATAAAGGGTTTGGCATACGAATCGTTCCATTTGATACGACATGGTCAAAGGGGCAAATCTTTCCTTAGAGTCTGCCTGGTAGAGAAAGCTTTGCTCAACCAATCTGGGTACCTCCTGTTTTCTCAGTAGGACTAAGAAGGGGTTTGGGCATACGAATCGGTTCCATTTGATGAACGACATGGTCAAATGAAACGGAGGTAAATTCCAACTCCTAGCGGATGGACCCCTTTAAACTAAATTCACAAAAGATGTTCATGAAACCCTAGAAACCAATCCCTAAGGTATTCCATGCACCACAATCATGAAACAATTTTTGGCATGACAAATTCCCCACGCATTCAGCCAATTTCAAGGTCATGGACCAAGAAGTAATAGCTAAAAACCCTGTTCTCAGCATGTAATGACCCTAGAACCAATCCCTAGGATTACATGCACCAACAATCATGAAACAATTTTGGCATGACATTCACGCATTCAAGCATTTCATGTCATGGACCAAGAAGTATACCTAAACCCATGGTTCCTCCAAAACCCGTGGTCCAACCCAAACACCAAACTAGTGGTCAAAACCTAAATATTAACTAGTAGTCCAAACCTAAACACCAACCAATGGTCCAAACCCAAACAAACAACTGATGGTTCAACCCAAACCCATGGTCAAAACCTAAACACTAATCAGTGGTCCAAACCCATGGTCAAACCTAGGGTTCAATCTAAAACCATGTGTAGACACTTAAATTTTGCCCTTAAAAAGTTAAGTGATGGTACACTGTTTTTTATATAAAATTGGATCGGGATTCCCGATCGCCCTGGTTCTTAGGCTAATGGTCCATGGCTGAGATTATCCTTATATTTAACCATTTTTACTTTTTCGGGTTACCAAGCATTTCGCGATGAAACCGGGACTGAGAAGCCCGACACACTTTTCGGTGCACTACCTCATTTCGCATGCCACTCGGTCTAATTTGGTAAAAGTGGGCTCAATCCCGTTGTAGGGCCAAACAGTGGCATTTTTGCCACGTCAGCCCTAAATGGGGCCAATCACCCTCAAATGCCTATAGATAGACATTGGGGGGTGAGCCTAAGGGGAGGATTTTTTGGAACTAAGGGGAAACTCTTGCTATTTTGAAACTAAACCTAAAGATTCAAAGTCAACCAGTGTTAACCTTTGATCTAAGTTGAGATTTTATTGCTTAATCAATCAAAAACCCTTGAGATCAATCAAAAATCCTAAAAAACACATACCTTAATCTTGAATCTCGGACTATTGGATCAAGAACCAAATGCTTGGGTTTCTTCATCCATTTTTGAAAAAATCTTCAAAGAAATCCTCAAAGATAGTTTCTGAGAACCTTAATCTTATTCCTGCACCTTTTTCTTTCTTTTTTCAATGCTTTGAACACCTCTTTTCGACCTGGTTGTGAGGAAAACCGAGGATCAACCAATAAGGGATCTTTGTGCCACTGTGGTGCACAACCTAAGAAAGTGGCAACGCACTGCATATGGCATGCGTCACAGGATTTTGGCTCGCGCCACATGAACCTAGATTTTCCCTGTTTCGACTCATAACGCATTTGAACCTTCTTGATTTGGAAAGGCCTTGTGCCACCTCGTGGGGCGCATGCCACACCCATATGATGTGTAATACCTTAACACCATGTATCTAAGGACAAATAGTGCTGGGATGCTACAAAACATATCATACAGATCATTAATAGAAATATAAGTCGCACCATGTGTTTAACAGTAAAAACTAATATCATAAATTTTCTTACCTTTCACAACAGTCATATATAATTATATACATGAGCAAACATAATTTAAAGTTACTTAATACATGGTGGACATTAAGGAGTTTTAAACTCCTACAAGCATATTTACAAACTGAATATGTGACATATGCAGACATAATTGATCCCGGCCTTTGTTCCATTTCTATCAGTCTAAATAGATGGAATGTTGACTTCTAATGCCTCCTAATGCCCAAATCTAGAAAAACATTAGCTTTTTATATGAGATGCTTCTTAGTGAGTAAAAACCATCATAATGATTATTAATCATACAACAAAAATCAACCATCTGAATCGGGGCACACAGTACACTCCCAATATTTTAGAACATTTCAAACTCCTTGGGCCATCGATGCCCAGCATCAACAATTATCAAATAATAATAGCCACTCATCACATCATTCACAGCAATAGTGTGTAGATATCACATCATTCTCATTGACAGAAATTTAGATCATGGTCATTCAAGGCATCACATATACGATACTATAGAAATATATTTAAGAAGGATAATGCAGATGATTGTAAGTATCAGATAACATATTTCAGAGATCAGATTTAGCTGACCAGCTTTCAGATCAGATATTTTGAGCATGCAACTCTAGATTACAGATTTATGAGCACGCAGCTCCAGATAACAGATTTATGAGCATGCAGCTCTAGATAACAGATTTATGAGCACGTAGTTCTAGATACAGATCAGATTCACGAGTTGGTAATGACAGTCATAACTTCCTTTTGTCTCAGATGCAGACATGACAGAATTGCATTCACAGATTAGGCTCATTGGCCTCAGAATAACACATACCTTTTTGCTTAACCTATCCCTTTTCAGAATGAATCATATGCTTTGCATTCACAGGTTAGGCTCATTGGCCTCGGAATGACACATACATTTTGCTTACTTGCCTTTTTTCAGATAAATCATTTCTTTTTTAGATCATAATATCAAGAATTGAATAATATCATAACTGATATATCAAACAAATCATTCGTCACATACAAATAATCATCATAAGCTTTTACTCACAGTACATAGAGCTGTAGCTTTAGGGCTTGGAAGAGCCTGCTTCTTCACCTTCTCCTATGATCCTTTTACCTATATGAATAAGCAAGCACCTTAATTCTCATTTAGGCATTTAATCAAACATTTGGTGTGCATGACTTAAATGCTTAATATTTTTATTCCTATTTGTATTTTTGAATTCCCAGAGAATTCCATGTAATCCCCAATAATCAGTAAATAATCCTGTAATCTTAATTTAATCAATTACTCATCAATTAACATTATTAAAATTCACCATAATATCACCATTTAATGAATATTTCTTAAGCTCTTTAAACTTCCATAATCATATAAATATGGTAACTTCAATTTAAGCACCATTCCTTTCAAACTAACACTTGATCACATAATTAGAATGCTTAATCAACTGATTAAATTCATCAATTCAAAACGAAATGACCATTTCCAAGGTCATTTTGAGTTGGCAGAATTTCTATCTTTGGCCTTAGGTGAGATTTTCTCAATTCAATTAAATTAAGGCTTAAATAATGGTTTATATAATCAATACTAACTAATTAATAATTTAAATCACATTTATTTCACTTATTAGCATCAAAATCAATTCATTTTTAAGCACCATCCCTTTTCCAAACTAACACTTGGGATCACTAATTAGAATGCTTTAATCAACTGATTAAATTCAAATCAAATTCAAAACGAAATGAACTCATTTTCCACTCAAGGTCATTTTGAGTTGGCAAGAATTTCTAATCTTCTGGGCCTTAGGTGAAGATTTTCTCAATTCAATTAAATTATAGGGCTTAAATAATGGTTTTTTATAAATAATCAATACTTAAACTAATTAATAATTAAATTCCACATTATTTCACTTATTAGCCGATCAATCAAATCTCCGGCCCTTCAAAAATAATTCTAAACTTTGGAAACCTAGCTCAAACTTTTCCCAATCATGAAAAATAACATAAACTAAAATAGAAGATTTTAAAGTTTTACCTTAGATGATTTTCCATTACAAAATTCTTGAAACGTCCAAGTTGAATTCTAGCGACTTAAGCTTTCCTGTCCTTCTTCTTTCTCTCTTTAATATGCGTGTTCGGACCTCATCGTGTCTTTTTTTCTCCTTCTTCTCCTTTTTTTATTTCTTTTTGTTCTTGGGTTTTTGCTATAACTTAAGCTTTTATTAAACGTAACAAGTCATGTGCAGCGGAAGCATGACCTATTAAATGGCTCCCCCTTTAACATCTCAAATTCTCATGTATTCTTTTGTTTTTTAAAAGAACCCAATTAGGGTAATTATGAACTTTTTTCTTTTTTTATGTTTCAAAATTCCAATAACATAAATTCTTCTTCATTAACAACTTTTTAAATTTTAAAATCCTTCATTTAGGGATTAACACTTAATTAATCTCATTTAGGCCCTAACTAAACATCTTAGATGATTTAACATCAAGTGATTAAGTATTTAATCAAAATACTAATTGAGGTGCTTCTCGTGCTAGCTTCTCATCACTGTGACTTGAGCACATTTGACCTTCTTCTGATTAATCTGCATAATCATTTTCTACTTTCATTAACTAAGGATTTTGTAATTAACACTCTCTTACTAGCATATTAAGGTAAATCTTAATCAACTTAATCATCAAAATAGACATAATTTTCCATAAGAATCTCACTATTCCTTCTTGAGTTAACTCATACATAAACACCATATATAGGTGTACTGAGAGGCTTTAAAGAATACACACACACACACACACACACACACACATATATATACACCTTCTGAGTCTAAGACAAAATGTTAAGCTTTCTGGGTTCAGAGCTTATTCCCTAAGACAAATGTTAAGCTTTCTGGTTTCAAGAGCTAATTTCAGACTCATGAATTGTGCCAATATTCAACATTATTATCCATATGCCTTGTGGGTTGCATGGGTCGTTGCTTAGGGTATAATCATTGGGGCCCCATATATCACATAGAAGAAATTGTAAATGCGATTAATATAATATTAATATTTATATATATATATATATATATATACATTCCATTGTTTTTACATGTTGTCATGTTCCAAATAAAATGCAGAAACGTATGATCCACGATATGGTGGTTTCAAGTCCCAGGAGGTACAATTCCTCCCTTCCTAAGAAATTTCATCCTCAAATATACATTCATGTTACATGTGTCATGTTCATAAATGCAGACGTATGATCACGATATGGTGTTTCAGGTCCAGGATGTTACAATTCTTCCCTCCTTAAGAAATTTCATCCTCAAAATTTTTACCTGATTCAGGGAATAAGTGGGGGTAATTCTGCCTCATATGTTGTTTTGTTTCCCATTTAGCTTCCTTTCTATAATGGTTTTGCCAAAGAACTTTTACCAATGGTATCTCCTTATTTCTCAATTTTTTAGTTTGATATCGAATAATAGCAACTGGTTCTTCAACATAACTTAAATGATCAGACACTTGAATATCCTGAGTTTGTATCACATGTGATGGGTCTGATCGATACCTTCTGAGCATGCTTACATGTAATACATCATGGATCTGAGCTAATTCTGGAGGCAATGCTAATCTATAAGCTAAGGGGCCAATTCTTTCAAGGATCTCATAAGGGCCAATGTATCTTGGGCTTAGTTTGCCCTTTTGACCAAACCTGGTAACCCCTTTCCATGGTGAAACTTTGAGAAAAACCTTTTCTCGAACTTGATATTCCATTTCCTATCTGTGTTGATCCGCATGGCTTTTTTGTCTATCCTGGGTTGTTTTAAGCTTATTTTTTATAATTCTCACTTTGTTGACAGTTTCTTGCACTATCTCAAGTCCTTCTAGTATTCTAGCACCTTCTTCATCCCAGTACAAGGGACTTCTGCACATTCTACCATATAGTGCCTCATACGGTGCCATGCCAATACTACTATGGTACTGATTATTATAAGAAAATTCAATTAGGTCAATGTATTATTCCCACGATCCCTGAAATTCAAGTGTACATGCCCTTAATATCTCTTTAACAGTCTGTATGGTTCTTTCAAATTGTCCATCCGTTTGGGGTTGAAAGGTACTACTAAAATTCAATTTGGTACCCAAAGCATTCTGTAAACTAACCCAGAATGTAGAAGTGAATGATGGATCTCTATCAGAAACACTTGATACTAGCACACCATGAAGTTTTACAATATCATCTATGTATCTTTGGGCTAATTTTTCCAGTGAACTATCTAATCTAATAGGTAGGAATTGTGCTGACTTAGTCAATCTATCAACTATAACCCATAGTGCATCATTTCCTTTTGGGGTTCTAAGTAAACCCACAACAAAAATCCATAATGATTTTTCCCATTTCCACACAGGTATTATTAATGGGTGAAGTTTACCAACAGGTGTCTTGTGTTCAATTTTGATCTGTTGACATGTAAGACACTTAGAGACTGGAAGTTTAAACCAACCTAAGGCTGTCTTGTGTTCCAATTTTTGATTTCTGTTGACATGTAAGAAAACCTTAGAGAACAATATTTCAGCCATTATTTTTCTTTCTTACTCTAGGACCACCTGAAAAGTAGTTCTTCTCAATGGTGGTAATCATTGGTGGTTCAAGGAATGCAAGTACCACTGCATCTGAAAATCTATACTCCATCATCAAAGTACCACTGCATCTGAAAATCTATACTCCATCATCAAAGTACCACTGCATCTGAAAATCTATACTCCATCATCAAAGTACCACTGCATCTGAAAATCTATACTCCATCATCAAAGTACCACTGCATCTGAAAATCTATACTCTGATTTCGCTTAACCTTCTCAATTATTTCATTTAGTTTAGGATCCTTGTTGTTGTTTTCGTACCGCCCCCGCGCGACTCGACAACATCCTTTCTATTTTATTTTGGATTGAAAGTGATCTTATTATGAAAAGTGGTGACAAAGTGGTGACAAAACATTTTTATTGGAACGATACGATAAATCGGTCTTATAACAAACATTTTATTGAGTCGCCACCCATTATTTCAGAATGGACCGTTTTCCAATTTATTTTTAAAAGTGACTCCATTTTAAAAACCCAATTTTATAAGGCCAAATTATTAAAAAGATTGGTCAAGGCGCACCAAGGGTGGATTCTGGTAAGGAAATTGGTATGTCGGCCCATTTGGAAGCTGACGCCAGGGAAAAACTCGACCTCTTTTTTAACCTACGGTTTCTAATTTTATTTTTAGTAGAAAAGCCAAATTTATTAATTTACTTAAACCCAACCCAAATGATCGGACCGAGTTCTTATATTGGAAAATTAATTAAATCGTCCTACAATCAAATCCAATTATTGCATTTTAAAAATTCATTTTCAAACCATTTCAAACAAATGCAATTAAACCAAAAATAAATAAAAGACCGCTCTTGCCTTTTGGTTCAAGGCGGGCTACAAACCGAACCTAAAAATTACCACTCTACCCAATTCGAAATCAAACCCGAAAACCCTCAAACCAAAATCATGCACAATTACATTTTAGATATTCTAACTTAAATTAAATTGCAATCTGTTCCATTAATTGGTCATCTTCGGATTTATTGGAGAGATTTAAAATTTATTGCTAACAAATTTATTTTAATTAAAAAAATTATTATCTGCAATCCATCGAACAGTTAGCGATCACACACTGTTCTTGGAAGAAACAGTCGCGTGACGGATCCAATAGTCACATAACGGAACTACTAAAAAATAGAATAGCTGCGTCACGCAGCTAGTATTCCGTGACCTAAACTGGTTCATTAATCTGGAAAATAGAATACTGGGCATGAAAATAAAAAAAATTTTGAACATGAACAGTTCCGGTCACACATCTACCAGATCCGTTACGGAGCCACTGACTGCGTGACGCTCTGCTCTTAGTCGAGGCTCTGTTTTTAAATATTTGTTTAGATCTTCTTTTATTTAAATTATGCTTTAAAAGGATCGGAAAATGAACCACGGATGAACCAAAATACAGTTTAACTAAGATTAAACTACTAAAACAATAACCAAAAAAAAAAAAACAAAAAAAAATTACAAAAAGTGTAAAGAAATTACCCTAATCCTCAGATTGAGAGGATTGGTGAATGGCTTAAATGCCTTAACGAATCGTGGTTAGCGCTCCAGAGCTTTTGTCAACAAGGATTTAAACACTCACCCTTTTTTCTCTCTTAATTTTTCTTTCTTTTATGCTTTTGTTTTACCCTAATTGATAAATGTCATCAAAGAAGCTCAAAAGAGTTCTTCTGGAGAAAAACGGTAAGTCGAAGATGTTGTTTTTAGGACACCCTCAAAAAAAACCTATCTCGATATGGAGAGAAAAAGATAATTATAGAAGTAGGGCAACAGAGGATAGCTGCATCACGAGCTCTATAGCTGCGTGACAGATCTAGCCAGATGCGTGATGTAGGGCTTACTTGGTGGACCACAACTACGTTGTCGTTTCAGATAAAAAAACACTCCACGCTCTTGATAACGACATAAACTGTAGTTGCATTTAGAGTTGCGTGACCACACCTTATTAGTGCCGTCACGCACACCTGTTGTAGCTGGCGTGACGCAACTCTGACGCAGTTAAAATCCAGTTTTAGTTTGTAACATGAAAGACTTCTAGATAGCTAAACCCATTCATTTCGCATCTCATATCCTCATCGGATCAAGTGGGGCATTAAAGACACACGTCAACAGGTTGCCCCCCACTTTTATCATTAATCGTGTAAACAATTAATTGTTAAATGGGCCTACTGACGCGCCTTCAATCTTGGGTTGACTTGGTCACGTCCAAAGGTCAAGTTTATCAGCTTTGTTGGCTCCCGGTCGGATCTGTGATCAATCTCCAAGCCTCAGTTTTGGATTGGCTTTTGAGAGATAACCTCCGAAGCTCGGTTTAGTTAGCTTGAGAGGACTTTGAGTTGTCATGGTCAAGCCCACCTTGGTTAGTAATTGTCCGCTTGGGCCACGCAGGCTCCACACGGTTTTTCCCTTTGGCAGGCTTTTCAACCCACCCCAAAAGGCGCCTACCAGGTTAACAACCTCCTTCTTATTGGTACTGACGTGCAACCTTGTGCGTAGCCGATAAACCTAAGGTGAGTTGGCACTGCCTCTCTGCAGCCCACGCTTACCCCCCCTAGGGAACATCAGCGCCCCACGCTGAGGGTGCCCCACCACCCCAAGGAACAGGCTTGGCTCTTGATACCAATCATTCCACCACCTGGTAGGTACCGGCTTTGGGCCACGCAGCGCCGCACGGTTTTGTCCCTTGGGGCCAGGCTTTTTCAACCCACCCCAAAAGGCGCCTACCAGGTTAAGCTACCCACCCTACTTATGTACTGATCGTGAAACCTTGTGCGTAGCCGATGTGGATTTGCCTAAGGTGAGTGCACCTCGCTCTGCAAAGCATCCGCTTCACCCCCCCTTAGGGATATCTCAGCGCCCACGGCTGAGGTTGCCCCACCACCGGCCAGAGGAACCAAGGCTTGGCTCTTGATTACCAATGTCAATGGTCAGCCCACCTTGGTAGGTATTGTCGCTTTTGGGCCACGCAGGCCCGCACGGCCCCACTTTTCAACCCACCCCAAAAGGGGCCGCCTTTGAGGGTGGGTTGAAAAGCCTGGGGCCCATAGGACTAAAACGTGCGGGCCTTTGCGTGGCCCAAAGCGGAGCAATACCTACCAAGGTGGGCTGACCATGGACATTGATTGTCTTGATCATCCGGTCACGTCCAACTCCAAACCTTCTGTTTGGGCTCCAGTCAGATCTGCAAACAAACTCCAAAGCGATGAGGTCTGATTTGGGTCTTTGAACACCCCGAGGCTCGGTCTGGCCTAATTTTGGTTGTCTCCAAAGGCTCAGTTTAATCGACTTTGTTGTTCACCTCCTCAGCTCAGTTTTAATCGGCTTTAGGGGTGGTCCAAGCTCTAATCGGCTTTGTTGTTTCACCTCCTCAGTCTCTTCAGTTTAATCGGCTTTAGAGGGTTTGGTTGTGTCCAAAGCTCAGTTTTAATCGGCTTTGGTCACCTCCTCAGCTTCAGTTTTAATCGGCTTTAGAGGGTTTGGGTTGTGTCCAAAAGCCTCAGTTTTAATTCGACTTTGTTGTTCACCTCCTCAGCTCAGTTTTGATCGGCTTTAGAGGGATTTGGAAGAGGATTGGTTCTGGACCAGCTTCGCCAATGCACCATCACTAATTAAGAAAAGGATCCAAACAGCTTTGGATACACCATCATTGCTTTGGTGGGACCAACCGACTTTCGAGAAACCCATCACCGGTTGTCCTGAAATAATTTTTCAAGAGAGAAAAAAGCAATTTCTGTGTATCAACACTGATCTCGCCTTTTTGTCAATGTTGGAGCGTCACAATTGCCCCCATTGCCTTAGGGCAAAAAGATTTTATTTTTTGCCCCCAGTTTGGAATTTCGTCCGGACCCAAAAATATTATCTTTTAAGCAAACCTTGAAATTTTTTTTTTTTAAATTTAGCAAAAAATTTTGTTAAAGTTTTCTAGTTCCTTAAATTTCAGGTTATTACCCTTTCCTGAATGCGGTGTTTGAAAGAAAACTTACCTGGAGGGTTATTTTTGTGATTTTGCCCCTTGTTGTGGCGAAGTTAGATGGAAAATTTTTGAAAGTATACGAGCCGCACACTGACTCCAAATTGCCTAAATAAACCGACTTTGGCTTTGATGGGTTCTTGATGGGCTTGGGAAAACCCCATTA